TTTATCATTTTTGTCATATCTTTACTTATCACTTTTTTTTTCACATATACAGTGAGATAGTATTTCAAAAAATACGTCAAATACAAGTGAAGACTTTTTTTGCTATGAATAGAACTCGAAATGAAAAAGCTGTAGAAAGTAAGAGGTCGATAATATTTAAAATTTTATACAAGGGATTTGATGGGTGAGATATTTTGACCGCTTCATATTTTTACGTAATTTACATTACAGAAGTGTTGCCCAAAATGGAACAAATAACTCTTTAAAAAGTTTTACAAATAACTTAGCTCATTCATAAATGTTTCTGTATTCAAATTTCTTTCTTTTTGAATAGATTCATCCTTATTAACCTTTTGTAAATCTACAGTACAATTTGGTATCAAATGAAATAAATTTTCTTCAATGCTTAATCTTAGTTCAATTGAAGATAGTACGGTAATTCTTCATTGTTCTTATTGTTTGGATCATTCATTTGGATTTTCGATGGCTCACAGTGGATATCAAAATTTAGTAGATGTGAAAAAAAGATAACACGAAAAAAGAAAATGCAAATATTTTCTCGATTTATCGATTTTTTCGATCATCTTAGGAACAATTAGGATTGTAACAATTTTGTTTGAGCAGGACTGTCTAAAAAGCAATCTTTTTTCAACTTCTTTTTCCTCTTTAATAAACCTGTATTTTGGCCAAGTTTCAGAGCGCAAATGGCCAAATGTAATGTTGGGCATTTAGCACTCATATATGTGTACATTTAATTAACGATGTGATATCCAAATACCATACCCAATACCCAAATTTAGTACATTACATGAACGTCGACCTAAAGGTATAGATAAATGGGCTGACTAGGTAAGCAATAAATAAGTATTGAAAAATGTAAAAAATTTCGAAGTATTGTTAATTTCTATTATCATGAGGTAAAGGGAGATAATTTAAGTGTATGGAATCATCGCCAAGAGAGCAGTCTTCATTGTCATTGATTATCATGGACATCTATCTATGAAGTGAAATTAAGATTTGATTTATTAACTATTAAAAAATATTTTGATTCTTTCAAAGGCAAAATTTTGTTCAAATGATGCGGAAAATGACTAATGGATTAGAATTAAGTTAATTAAATACTATAGCGATAAGTTGTGGTAGTTTGTATTTCACAAATATAATGTAAAAGAACTTATGTTGATATGCTTAAGGTTGCTTTCATGATGTCATTTAATTAAGCACAACTATCCAGTGTTGTCCTTCATTATATTATAGATGTATCGGAAGAATCTTTTTTTTTTCTCTGATTTTGAAAACAATTTTTTCAGTTTTGTTATGCTTGCAATTTACGAGCAGTGTTAAGTGTCAGCATCTGCTCTAGTTATATCCATGCATAGGTAAAGTTATGTACCATCAGCAATAGAGGCTTTGACATTATTAAGTCAAGATCAACAATCAATCAACTTTAATATTATTTACTGAAAATTAGTGTTTTGATTGGTTATACTTTAGCTGTTCAATAAATTGCGTACCATTTCGGAAAGCAAAAAATTAAGAAAAAAAATGCTAAGCAGTTTCTTCTGCTGCGTGTATTTGTCATTCAGGCTCGGACATAACTTTTTACTGGTAATGGACAAATCTGATAAGCGTATGAGGCAATTGAAGATTTGGAAATTTGAAATCACTCTCATCCGATTACAGAGTTCTCTTCCAAAAAATAAAAAAAATAATACTTAACAGAAATATTGAATTGTCTAAGTTTTGGTTGAGGAACCAAAAAATATGAGAGAAATAAAATGAACTTCCAAAAATATTCCTAGTATGTTACTTTTTTCTAACGATTTCTTACTTGCAAAAAAAAATCCTCTTTATTAATTGTTATCAAAAATTCCCACATTAGTTTTTTTTTTTTTTTTTTTTTAAGATCTGATGTTTTGTGACACAAAATACCAGATAATTTATATATTTTATGTATCTTTTGATCGCTGATTAATTTGTTATGAAACATGTTACAATAACAATGACAAGTTTGATAAATGAAATTATTAATAAATCCAATACTAATTCTTATTTAAATTATCTTTAATAAAATAATTCGTAATAGTTCTTTCTCCTTTTTTAAAAAAAAAAAATTGTTCAGGAACTTATATTTTTAATCCTGAAAGTAAATTCCATTATAGAATGTTTTCTCAGCTTTACAATCTTTTTTTTTCACAATATTTCTTGTTAAATTATTAATAAACTTCGATATAATCAGTCTTGCTTATGGTATAGTAACTTATCTTTTATCATTTAAAAGTAAAAGGATTAGATAAATCCGACTGTAAGGAATCAGGAAAGAACTGAACAATGTAAACAAAGCATATCCATGTTCCGGAAAAGAATCTCCTGAAAATGATATTCTCCAGAAAATAGATATGTATTGACTAAAGAAGTTTATATTTAATTTTGATCAATTAATATCATGGATATGACGAGAAATAGAAAGATGGATAATCTGATGTCTTCGTACTTTTTACTTAACTATAGTTTCGTACGTACTTAAAACTAATCGTTATTAGTGCAACGGTGAGATTCTGCACATTTTTATCAGTTATGAATTTTCGTAACTTCCAAGATCGTAGAAGTGATTTATCTTACATTTGTAATTACCATAATTATTAAATGAACTAGGTGATATTTCTCAAATGATATCATCTTTTTTTTTTCTACTATTAAGGAAAACATTTAATCTATTAAATAGTATCTATAATCAGTCGATCATTGATCATAGCTTAATATTACTGGTTCAGATTATTCATATATATATATAAACATTTTCAGTTTCGGTTTAAATAGAACAGTTTCTTTTGGTCTAATGAATGAATGATCCAATCAGGAGTTGTATAATTTGTAATAATTGCAAATATGAAAGCTAAAATAGTTTATTTTGATGAATGAAGAGAATAAAGTAATGCTAAATTACATAATTTTTTTTTCCTTTTTAAATTTTTGAATAAGTGAGAAATGCATGAGGAAATAAATTATACAAATTTATTGTAAAAGGGCACTTTTTTTTCTTCTTTTATTCCTTAAAGAAAGGAATGATTTGGGAAATTTAGTAATAAAAAGTGAAAGAAATTTAATGATGAAAAAAGAAGTCTTTTTGTGGTAAAAATTCAGTACATTGATCTGTCTAGTTAACTTTGTCATTTCCTTTACAAATGAGATGAATTATTTAGTTGCTTAATATGAAACAACTTCTCATCTTGATCATCATTATAAGGTAATGAGAATACGGATTGAATAATTATCACACGAATAATGGAGAGAGAGAGAGAGAGAGAGAGAAATTATTGAATTCTAGAACAGCATTCTTGTTTTCCGTTTTGTTATGAAATTGATAATGATGATGATGATGATGATGATGATGATATAAAAGATGAACAAAAATCAGCAGTTATAATAAAGTAAGTGAGAAAATATAGATGATTTCATGAAAGTAAAAGAAAGGTATAATTTGATAATGAGCAGCAAAAAGTAATAATTTAAATTGATGGGATTTTCTTCTCTTCGGAGGAATATGTTTTGTAAAAAATATGCAAAAAAAAAAAAAAAAAAACAAAAAGGAAAACAGAATCATGAGTAATTTTATTGAGTAATGAGAGATTGTTGATATTTCGAAAGATTGATTTGTTTGATTTTTTTTTTTTACTTCCTTTTCATTAAATTTTATTTTTTCCATCAACTCTTTCTTTTTTCATTGTCTTTGTTTTTATTAAATTTTGAATTATGAATATATATATAAGTTATTTTCCAACACTAAAAATAGAGAAGAGAGAAAGAAGTTGGAAAAAAAGAAGGCAAAGCTAAGATGAAGGAGAAGAAAAGAATAAAAACTACATTTTTGAAGTTATTGCAAATGATGCATAATGATTCTGGTTATTGAAATAAACACATCAGAAAATTCATTTTGAAGAAAATATAGTTTTTTTGTACTGAAATAATGTAAGATGTGGTTAAATGATAGTGAAAGACACAGCTAGATGAAAAGTATGCTTGCTATTGTGTCAATTCTAACCTATATTGGAAAAAAAGTTTGAAACGATTTAATTTATAATTAATTGAATATAATTAGTTGAATGATTTTGATCAAAGATGAGTGTGAAAAAAAAAATGAAATCAAATAATTAACTGGGTGTAGCGAAATATGCCTTTATGCTATGTATTGTTGCATTAACATGAGCGGGAATGTCAGTGCAAAATGATTTTTTGATAAAAATAATTACGGTAATCAATAAAGAAATAACTCGTAACAATTGCAATGAAAAAATAAAAATTACAGCACTCAATAATATTTTGCTCAGTGGTAATCAACTACTTTAATAAAATTTAATTTAGTCTTAATCTATTACCAGGTAACAGCTGATTAATCAGTTGGTACGAAAAAAAAATGGAAGCATTAATTAATTTGTTGAATTTATGTTATATTTATATACATACATTTATTTATTTATATTAAGTACGTAAATATTTCTCTATCATGTTTGATTGTGTCAGTTAATAAAGTAAATTAATGGATAATCGTAATATTTTCCATTATTATATATGTTATATGGAATTTCATGAAATTTAAACATATCTCTTTAACTATAAAAATCTGTTTGTGTATACCTGTATATTTGTGTATACACATATGATTGTATATACAATATTTATTATTGTTATTTGATGGATTTATGAGTGATAATTTGTTTCCTTAGTTTTTGAATATTTGATAGGAAATATATGCAAAAAATTTTAATCAGTTTTTGAGTGCACAATTATTGTTACAATATAATTTTGTTTCCATTAATTGATATCCTTCATTACGTTTTCTTTTTTTTTTTTTTTTTTTTTTTTCATTTCTTTTTGTGGATTAATTTATTTTCAAAATTAATGTTTGAATGCTGTGGAGCAACAAAATCTTTATTTTTAAATTTTTAACAAGATTTTATTTACAACAGAAACTGTTTAATGGGGGCAAATTTATAATCTTAATGAAGATTCTTAATTCATCGGATGATGAAATGGATGAAATTGGATTAGAATTAGAAAAATCAGAATCAAGTTCATCAGTAACAGATGATGAATTAACTCTTCCGGATGGAGTATTTATTGTTCAAGAAATTGTTGACCATAAATGGTAAGTATTATTATAATACTATTTGTATTTTAAGATGAAATTTTGCACCACTTTTTCCTTCGTTTGATAATTAAGAGCTTTTGTGTATTGCAAAAGTATGATAAAAAAGTTATGGGTTTTTTTTTTCTTGTTTCAACGACTTCCAATTAATTAATTACTTGAACTCATTATTGTAATTTTAGTTATGGTGAGTTACGACGTAAAAAATTGATCGATCGACGAAATGTCTCTTATAATAGTTCATTTTTCCGTGTATGATTTTGCTCGAGATTTTATCATTTTTTCAACATTTGAAGTTTTACTAAACCGGATATCTGCTTTTATGAATCCATAATGATGATGATGATTGTTTTCTTTTGTGAGTTATTTTGTATTAAATGATGTTCGGTATTTATATTTATTAACTGGCAACTTTGAATGTAATGCATTTTCAGGTTCACTGGAAGGGTTTTCCAGGTCAAGATACTTGGGAACCGTTACAGTCCATTCAACATGTTGATGTCTTCAAAGAATATGCACGCAAGCATAATCTCATTCATTTAATTCGTAAGTTTTAAATAGATACATGTATTAACTGATAGTAACATTTTGGAATTATGCATAATTTTAATCAAACTTAATCTTAATTGATAGTCAAAAAGTTTCTACGTCTTTACTAAATTTGAAGTTATCAGTGATTACAACGAGCATGGCAGTATTTCAAATTTAATCTTTTTCAGAACAACTAACTTCTGTATATAATGTTAAGCAATATCACAAGTATTATATGTCATTCATTTGAGTTTTTTCTTTGAAGCTTGCCTTGTTTCTACCTTTGTTTAAAATTTCAATTTATCCCGTGAAATAATGAATAATAACAATGGGAGATTGTTTTTTATCCATATTCTGCCTGTAAAAGTATTAAGATTTCCTCAGTTAACATAATTAAATATGAAAATTAAAAATCATATATGAATGAGTGCAAATTCAAAACTTTTCAAGGATAGTAAATAAAATGAATCAGATTAAAATAAGAGAAATTCCGTGCAAAAAATATTTCTACTCGTTCTAAAAAAGATAAATAAGAGAAAAAAAAACAGAACTTTCGACTTTTGATAAAATTATGATTAATTAGTATTAGTATAAAGCATTATAATTTCGTTTCCAGCAGTTCCCTTTCTTCGTTTCTTTTTTCCAATTAATCTTTTTCACTTATTTGTTTTTTCAATTCAGCACCTAGCAGTGATAGCAGTGAAACAGAAAGCACTGATAGTGATGAAAGAAGGAAGATAGAAGGAGAAGGAGAAAGAAATTCTGAAACCGATAATGGAAAATGTCCAAGAAAAAAAGCAGAGATTTTGATTGATCCAGAAACCGAAGAGGTATTTAACCGTTAGTATCTTAAATCCTTTTTTTCAATTATGATTAGTTGTTTAATATTCTATTTTTCTGCGTTATGTCTTATCTATTAGAATTTTTTTTTTGCAATTTTTATCTTAACTTTCGAGAAAAAATTAAGTGGAAATCTTATATGAAATTAATATTAAGATTTTTTTGAGATTATATATATGCCTAAATTTTTATTTAAATTTTTTAAATATATATCTAAAATTAATATTTTCATATATCTGGACCTTTTGTTTCTCTTTTTCATAAAATTTGTTAAAGTTTGAGATGAATTTGAGTTAAAAGAAAGGAGTGATAAACGAGATAATTTCACACAGATTTAATTTTATTATTAGAAATTAATAGTTTTATACGCTTAATGAATAAGCTTCATAAGTGTTCTTTCCTTTTTCTTTTTCTTGCTGTCACTGTTTTTTTTGCGGTCAGTCATTCATCATTTGCTTCAATCTTCATCAGTATCCTTTCCTCTTCGATAAAAAGAAAAAAGCATTTCACAGATGTCGCAATAATTTATTTATTTATTTTTTTCTTTATATTGTTCAAATGTATTCGATTTAAAATTCCAGGAAAATGATGAAATAGTAATTTCAAGAAGAAATAAACGAAAATGTCAATGTCATGAATATGATGATGATGATGTAGTGAAATGTCCACGACAGATGAGTTTTAAAAAGACGTGGTGGTTTCGCTCTAGCGATGTAAATTCCTAACAATTATTCCTGTTTTATTTTTTCATCTTTTATCATCATCAATTAGACAAAATCAATGATACGCATGCCCAATGGAATGTACAAAGGATTAGAATGATCATAGCAATTTCTTTTCATTTCAAAACGCTTAAATTTTGAAAAAAAAGGTTTTTTTTTTAAATTCTCCGATTTCTTTGTTGTTCCTAATTGTATTATAATTCGAATTAAATATGATTTATATGCGTAACAGAGAAAACTTCTGATAAGCTTACAAAGGTAATCAAGAAGTATGAGCACTAGTTTCCATATTATTATTGTTATGAGAATCAATGTTAGATTATTATTGAAAAGAATCAATTAATCTTTTTGAGAAGAAAATATGAGCATGAAGATTTTCAAAAATTTATCTTGCAGAAGAAAAAGAAATTTGGTTATCAAAAATTGTTCGTTCATGAAAGAGAATACAATGTATCCTGTACGTCAAATTATCAAGATGTGAAAAAGGTAGCTTGTTATAAAAGAAAAATTTAAAGTTAATATCTCAGAGAGCAAAAAGAACAAAGAAGAAGAAGTAATTGGTTGAATGCTTTATTATGCAAAAAAAAAAAAAGTGCCAAAATCCTGCATTTGAATTATTGATAGAACTTATAGAATCAGTTCGAAAATTTAATGTTTAAATACATTTATTTGCTAATTTCTTCGTATTTCACAATATTAGTATAGTTGAATTTCAAAAAAGAAAAAAGGAACAAATTTTTAAACTTCTAATATGAGACAATCGTTGAGAGTTGCATAAGTCTGATTATCTTACAAACGAGTTTCTCAATCCACTTATACGAAATTAACCTTCTGGAGATCACTTCGCTTAGCTTCCAATGAATAATGAAACTAATCATATTTATTATGAATATGATCATATTTATTTTTATTTCTAATTCAAAAGTATTTTGTTGCATAAAGATTGACATAGATAAGTTTCATTTGGAAATAGTGTTTACATACGTTGTCATTTGGTTCCTTGCGACAATAACAACAATTAGCATTTTTAAATTTATGTGTTATGATTACTATTTCTTTATTAGTACATTATTTCTCGTAAAAGTTTCAGGGAGAAAGAAAAGACAGCAATCAGAGGTGTCGTAGATCAGTTAGAAAATACATTGAGATGACCAAAGATGGATTTACTGCAACAACTAATCGTACTCGATCTATTTCACCAATTATTGATAAAGTGTTACGAGTAATTTTATTAATGCATTATCATTATTTTATCTTTGCTTCTATTTTCATTTTTTTTTTCGTTTTAAATGGCATATGCATTCTAAAAAAAAAAAAAAAAAAGGAGTGATTTATTTCTAAAATTATACCTATTTTTTCTTTAGTTAATTAATTTCAATTGTAATCTTAATCTCCTGTTAGTTTAACAAATTTTTCTTCTTTTTCATCGTGTACATACTGAAAGGAAACGATAAAGGAGAAAAGAGAAAAAAATTAAGTTTTCATTTTTAAAATTTTTTATAGTGAATAGAATCTAAAGTAAATGAGGTTGTTTCAGAAAATTTTGCTAGAATTATTTGTATTATATTATATGAATGGAATATATTTCAGAGCAAAATGAAAATTTACCAAATAAATTTATCTTTTAAGAAACAACAACTGCATGGTGTAATCGATGATGAAAATTTCCGTGATGATCAAAATTTTTTGAAAGGAACAAAAATATCCGTTGCTATAGCACAATCTGAATTATCATTTGTGGCAAAAAAACTAGAAGAAGGCTGTATTCTTCGTATGTTTTGGATGTAGGTTACATTATTTTTCTTTCGGATTTTTCTATTGGAAAAATCGGATTCTAATATGTTGAACTGGAGATTGTCTTATTTCAACATTCCTTAGACAAATCTTCCAGTGCCATGTAAGCAATCATTTATCTAATATGAAACCTTCATGTAATTGAACTTATTTACATTTTTTGTCAACTAAGAATACGTGTTGGAATTTGTTACTAATTAGATTGTCTACTATTATCAGCTCTTATTTAATTGATCCCTTTTGTTGTTTATCGGTTCTTTGCTAACAGTAAATTATATTTGAATTTGACAAGGTTAACAGTTCTTTGTTTAGCTGACCTCCTTCCTGCAGCTACTTTCTCAAGCTTTCTAATATTGCTCAATAGCTATGATCAACGATAATCTTTATCTCAATAAAATAAACATTGATCAGGCGTCGCCTTCTCTGTAAAGCAACAACTATTCGGCTTTCCTTAATTATTTATATTAACTATCTTCTTTTTCTTTTTTAGAAAAAAAAAGATAAAAGCAAATTTTATTAGTTATATATTATGAATAGATTTTATTTAGTTTGTTTAGCAGCTTGTTCTGTTTTGCAATTAATTGGAAGTTAGTCTTTAATTACATTGAATTTTTTTTTCTTTTTCCTTTTTAAGTTGGGTGAGAATTTATACCGGTTAAATTCTCTTATTGTTTTTCTTTTTTTTTTTATCAGATTCTACTTTGCCTACATCAAAAATTCCCATCCTTTCTTACAATGCAATTAGATCAAATTAATTTAAGCATTTTCATTAGGTAAAAGCAAATTTTAATAAATGATAATTAGATGAACAATGCTAATGCTTTATTTTTGAATTACTTTGTTTTCCGAATGTATATTTACCTATTTTCAGGAAAATTCATCAATACAATCTTCACTCACCTTTACGACAAATACGAAAAGCAAAAGCATATGAATTGGATCATACTCTTTTAAGGATTATTAAGGAGGTTAGTTTTTTTATAATATCAATGATTAGTTTTTTCTTATCCTACAGCATCGTAGTTAGTAAAAAAATGATAATAGTTTAACTATCTTAATGAATGGACTGTATGGGATAAGTAATTGAATTGAGTTATTGGGATCTATGAAATAATTCAGTTCTCTTAGTTAAATAATTTCTGGAATAAAAATTAACTTCAAATTTCAATTAATAGAACTGAAGAATATATTGAAAGTGATAAAGTGATATCTAAACTTTCCTCTTTCTCTCTTTCTCTCTCTTTCTTAAAGACGAAGTGTTGCAAAATTTTCATTGAAGTCGAAAAAAAAAACTTAGAGTATACCTCTTTTTTAGTTGCTTTAAAACAAAACATTTTTCAGAGTAAAAATTTCGAAAAGCATTATTTCCTATTGCGCAAATGTTTAAGTGAGCAAAATGCATTGGAATTTCTGAAGCAGTTACGAGTTATGAATGAGTGGTGTATTTCAGCTTCTGAAAATTTCGATGAAATAATTTTTGTAAATTATATTTTAAAAATTTTCAAGATAGGAAAAAAAAGAGCTATGAACTTCGGATTACATATGACTTCTTTTTTTTCTTACATAATGATATGGGAGAATTATTACCCTTATCATTAAGAATGAATAATTAGTACATTATTTTAGAAAATATATATGGAAATATTGTGAATTAGTTTTGAAATGAATTTTTATCTAATACGTTAAAATAGCTTGCAAATGACAAAATATTTCCATATCAACGGAAAAATAAATAAAAAACTAACAGGCAATAAATAAATGAATAGAAATTACAATTAGTAAAAGTCGTAAAGATAAAAGCTAGCAAAAAAAATGTCAGCGTTTAAAACAATGAAGTATATAAACAAATAAATAAATAAACACTATAATTAAGAATAAGTAGACAACATTTATAAATTTAACTCAATATTTTTAGGCCTTATTTACAACTAATGAAAATATTTCTAAATTTATCCAGATGTTATCAAATAATTGCTGTGCACCTAAACATCATAGATGTAGGTAAGAATTCGTTTTAATATTTTGTATGAATATTGGTAAATACTTAAATTAATATCTTTTTTTATTTTGCAATTTAATAAATGACACCAATTTTTCTAATAAATATTATCAATCTTTCAGGATTTTCAAAATTTTATTGTCATGCCTTTCATTAAAATATCGAGCTAAATTGTTTGAGCGTTTAAATCATGAAACAAAACATAAGCTTTTGGATATTGTCATAGGAATTGGTTGCAACGGTGGCGGATTTTGTCTTCTTGATACATTGATCAAATACGGTATGCTTTTTTTTTTTTGTTTTTAATTCTAAGTTTTAGCGTAGTTGTTTATACTTAAAGTATGAAAACAAACAAATGCATCTAGGAATACTTATGTCGTTGATATACTGATAACAATTTACAAATAAGTAGAAAAGATTAATGATACAAAAGATGGAAATGAAACTTAAATTAAATTCATTGATTAATTAGTAAGCGAGCTATGTTGTAATAATAAAAATAGTTATGATCAAATAAAATTTATCCCACATCTTTTTGTATCCACTTACAAAAAATTATATATTTATCTATTTTTATTATTACTGTTAAAATTATCATTAATTATGAATTAATTTATCAATGAAAACGAGCTCAGTATATTTTTAAGGTTTAATTTTTTCTTTATTTTTTTAAGGTATTAATATTAGTTGTGCAAAAAATCTTCCTATACACCAATGCATAATGAATGGAAATGAAGAAGCAGTGAGTTAATTTTGTTTAAATTATTAATCTTTGAATTCACACAAATATTGTTTAATATCATATGCCGCATTTGTTTAAGTTAATTTGATGTTTAGTTTAATTAATTATACATTGGTGATGAGATATATTTTCAAAAATTTTAGTAAATTTGTGACATGGCTAGTTTATAAACTTACTAGTCAGAAAATTGTTTCAATTTGTTAAACCAATTTTTTAATTGCTTAATTTATTTTCCTTATTGAAATCGAAACTTTCTCATAGAATCTTTTTTTTTTTTTTAAAAAAAAAAAGAATTAAATAATTTTCGTTTTTATTAGTTTTTTAGCGCAAATAAAATTTACTGTTGCTTATATATTTCAGGTATTACACTTGATTTTAAATGGTTTTGAAGTAAGACGTGTCAAGGATTTACCTAACAATAATTTACACGAACAAGCTTGCAAGGTTTAATTTGTGTAATTTTTTTTCGAAATTTTAAGTTTTACCACAAGTGCAAAATTGTCACATCAACTAAATCTTTTAAGAAATTCTATTTTTTTAGCTTATCATCAAGTTGCCATTTCAATATTTATATTAAATCTTTACACATTATTCTCCCATACTGCTGTGTTTTTAAAGATTTGAGAACAATAAATACTCTTAATATATATATATATATATATATATATATATCACATCATATCATCATATTATCATCTTAAAAGTTGTATTTTCAAAAAAAAGCGGTGATTATTCGTTATCATCATATCTGCATAAAATATCTCTTTGCATTTTTGAACAAATGCTTCCTGTTTTTCTAATTTTGACAAATAATTTTTATAGATTATGGATTCGATAGAAACTTATTTTGATTGTTTAAATATGAAAATTCAATGCTGGACAATGGCATTATTGAAGGAACATAATATGAAATTCACAGATAATACTAATACATTTCCAATATCAAACATTTGTTTATATCGCATTGGTCAAATTGATCGAAACGTATTTAGTTGCATAATTTTTTATAAAATTCTGTTTTTCTTTTATCTTTCTAAACTTTTATTAGTTATTCTTTTTATTATGCCAAACAGACTATCAGTGATTATATTTTATCTGCAACACTGCAACAGAATGAATACATTCAATGACCTTTTGATGTTATTTATTTACTTTAAGCAAATGAAATAATACTTGGCTTATCCACGAGTTATATCAAAATTTCTGATTTGTTATCTCGTTCCATTTTTTTTTCTTTTTTTATTTTTTAAATGAATTGATTATTATTTTAGATGTGCCTAATTGTTTCATCGAAGGAATTATTATCAGCGGCGACATTTTCATCCAAAAAATCCCACGTAATAAATTTTAATGTGAACTGATTGTCTAGTCTGCATGCAAAAATTAACTTAAAATTGATTTATTTCAATGATCAAAAAAATCACAAAAGGATAGTTTAGTTCTTAGAGATGGATCCTTCTTCAAGTTAGCAACCGATATTATCATATTACTATTTCTGTTATTATCATCACTATTATTACTGTTACTATCACTATTACTACAAAGAATATTTGTAAAATCAACATTGCTAACGATTAGCATTTTGAGATATCATTGTAATTTTATTAAATAATCATAACAAGCGATGTATTACTTTAGATATTGGTTATGCATTCACTTAGTTTATCATCAGCTGATGGTATCATGGGTATTACTATGCATCAGCGTCATTTACCTGTTCAATTCCATAAGAATTTAAAGTGAGTATTAAATTTTTATTATCAAATGAGTTAATTTTTTCATTTATTTAATAATTTAGTCTTTAAAATGTTTCCTAAAAGATTGCAAATATGCAATTTAATATATTAAAAGAAGTACAAAGTATTTTCTTTTTTCTTTCTTATTTTCTCAACAAATATTTGTTTACTTAGAATGCTTTTATAAAATTAAAGTTAAAAATATTTAACCAACTTATACCTGTTTTTTTTTTCTTACTGTTTTTCTTTTCTTTTGGAGATTTCATTTTGACAATGAAAACGACGAAATGGATTTGATTTGTGTGTGTCGCAATAATAACAGTTGCATTTATTGGTTCCCACATGGACACAACAACAAAATAGGTAAAAAAATAAGATAATATCTTTACTAATCACTCTGAATAAATTCATTAGTTTATGTCTCAAAATAGCAAAAATAATTGATTATTCATTTACTTAATTAAATATTTTTCATTTTACAACGGATAAGTTAAAATTGCAATGAATAACTTTTCGTTTTATCAGAATCTAATTAATATATGCTATACAATAATGTCTCAAAAATATTTGGAAAGAAACAATTATACGTTTAAATGTGTGTAAAAGATATGAAAAATTATATATAGGTAAACAAGTACACGTAAAACTATCGTATACTCCAAATGATTATATCAATGAAACGAACGATCTTGTTGTGCTACAAATTTGGGATCTAAAAATTTCTTCAGCACTTCTTCTAGCTGGCAATCATTTTAAAAGATAAGGAAAAAGAAAAAAGATTAAATTAAATGAATAAAAGGCTATTTCGGAGTAGATTCAAAACTAAATTGTTATCGTTTTTACTTCTCAATCTTTTTAACTTTAATTGAAATATTTCTTCAAACACAATTTTTTCTTGTTTTTTCGTTTTGTGAATTTTTTTTTTTTTTTTTTTAGTTCTGAAATATATATTGTTTCATTGTAAATAACAACTCAGATGATAGTATTATTTTCGTATTTTTTATTTTTATTTCAGTATTTATCACTTTGCTAAGGATAATTGAATATTTGAATATTTTTTTTAAAGCCATAATTGAACAATTGTAATCATCACGTTTCTTTTTCCTTCTCTTCCTACTCTTTACATCGCATGAATAATTAATTAAAATCAGTAGTTCTAATTATGTGACTAGCTCAGGTAAATTATACAGTAATTATCGCCTTTCTCTTTTAAATTGTTTGAAAAGAAAGAAATGTCCAATTTGCTAGTATTTATGACTTCCGGGTACTATTGTTATTTGTATGTGATATATGTTTGGTTCGATTTTCTGTATTTAATTTTACGGATAAATGAATGGTACTGGTTAAGTTTTACTTTTCAGTTTTTTTCGTTTTTTTTTTTTTTGTCCTATTTGCACATAAATATTTGCTATCCACTCATTTTTTTTTTGTCATGTTGATTTAAAAAAAGGTTTCAAATATCATTGTTCATGCAAATTTCTCATCACATTTAAACTTTTAAGACTTAAAGTTGAATTAATATTCTTGAAATTTCTAACCAATGATGGGAATTGAGATCTTACTTTCTCCCTCCCTCTCTTTCCATTTCCTTTGTAGAATATTCCTAACACTATTGGAAATAATAGTTCCACATCTATTTTTAAACATTTGTTCAGTCAAAGAATCATAAATTAGTTAAAATATAGTTTTGTATTCCTTTTATTAGTTTTATCCAAGTATCCGAAAGCAATTTTACTTTTTATGGACTGTTCAAGCGAATATGAGTTTAGCTTACAGTTACCGAGTTCCTTTTTTCTTTTTTATTCAGAAATATCATAGAAATAGAAAAACAAAAAAAAAAAAAAAAAATCGACAAACATCGTGTATACATATATATGCACAAAATGATGAAGCTCAGTATATTTGTTTTACAATAGCATTTTTTTTTAAAATGGACAATCATTTCCTGAAATTATTAATTCAGTATGAGATGAGACATTAAATTAATCAAAAGCAGTGAAATTACTGATTCCCATGGCTCAAAAAAATTCTACAAATTTATTCAATGATGATATTTGTTGTATCAAGTGGAATATCAATGAAATTCCCAGTGAAATTTGCATATGTTGATAATAAAATAATTTAGAAATTGAAATTTAGTAGATACATACATTTACCGCATAAAAGATTTTCATGAAAGAGCAAAAAAAAGGAAAGAAAAAAGGAAAAATTGAAAGGAATCTATCGAAATTATTAAACAATATAAAAGATTAATCAGTTAATACATCATAATTTAAACAGTTGTTAAAAAAGAAAGGAGAAAAAAAATCGGTGAACAAGTACATATAAGCGAAATAAAGGAAAAAAATTATCTTAAAAAAGCATGAAATATATTAATTAATTAATTTATATAAAGCACAAGATCACCGTTGAATATTTCCAATCAATATCTAGTAATGAGTAAGCAGTTAATTTGTGATTGTAAACCCGATAACATTGCGGTACAACGAGAAACATTAGCAAGATGAACATTTCTGGTGTAAGGTTATTACTAAGGTAGCTGCTAACTGAAACTGATTATGTCACCCTCTCATGAAAAAAAAAAGTAGAAAAAATTAAATTTTAAAAGAAATAAAATACATATTAGAAAAAAGGAATTCAAAATTTGAGGTTTATCGACATAGTAAAATTGGATATTGTCATAAAATTGTATATGATGTTTTCTAACAATGGGTAATCGCTTTAGTATTTTTCGATGATAATTGAAGGTCATTGGATGAGCTTAACGAATCATAGCTTTCTTCCGATACATAACCATCACGTATAACCTAAATAATCAACGATAAATGGTAAAATAATCGAATGTAAAATTTTGCTTTTATTTTTTATAATTGTAAACTAAAAAGAATAAAGAGCAATAATAATGATGGTAGGTTATGGTTATATTATATGCATCAAAAAGAAAAAATGGAACTATAAAAGAAAAGAAACATTAAAATATAGTAAAATTTGTATTGACATTAATAATATATAATATTATTGACTGCGTGAACTTCTTCCTATAACAATTCAATAAAATAATTTCCGATATGGAAATTTCACCAACTTTATATATACTTTATTCTTGAAATCAAACCTTACTAATTATCAGACTTTCAGATAAGAAAGAATATATTTGTAATTTCTAGGAATTATAATGTTTTCAAATTTGAGTACCGTTTCAGGATTGGTATTTTTGGAATCACTAACTGTTTGATTCTGTGCAGCAACACGTCGTTTTAACTCTTCATTCTCCTTCATTAATCGTCGAATTTCACGTTTCTGTTGCTCAATTATTTCCTAAAATGAAGAAATAATTTCCGAATTTAAATTCCATATAACAATTAGTCCTACGATTTTAATTGTCTGAATAATAAATGAAAAAATTTCATCAATTTCGTAGTGCAGAGACTGTAAATCATTTTAATATGCTGTGTCAATTATCATCTATCATATAAATGATAAGACATCATAAGTTTTGCTATAATCATTTAAGCAATTATCATATTTGTGATTTCTTGAAATTGCAAAAAATAATAAAATAGAAGGCAATAAGCTTGTACTAAAGAGCATATATATTGCTATTTTCCGTAAATTTCATTTAATCCATTTATTTAAAAGAGTGGCATGTGGATTAGTTAAGAGTTAGCAGAATAATTAAAAAATTTTACCTGTTGGCTGAGTGTATGTGACTCTTTTCTTGGCCATTGCTTCATACCACTGAAAAAAGGAAGACATTAAATCAAAAAAACAAAAAACCAAAAAAAAAATCAATTGAGCAATAATTAATATTAAAATTGCAAAATTATAACAGAAATAAAAGGCAGAAAGCTTGAATAAATAGCATATATATTATTGTTGTTAAATGTTGTACAAAAAATTAATCTTTTATTGCAAAGTAATAAAATAAGCATTTAAATTTTTTAAATTTTTTAGGTACGAATGAGTGATTAATTTATATCTTTGATACTTTTAAAATACATAACCTTCAATTAATACATAAATGTAAGTAATTATTTGCATGAGAAAATTTTTCTAACGATCCTAATCATTTTAACAATTGAAACTATTACCCCTCTAAATGATTCTAACCATTAGAACAGATAAAACTACTCTTTGCCTAATGAATTTGACCATTCAAAGAAATAAATTAATTCTCTCCGAATGATTTTGACCATTAGAGCAAACGAAAACACTTCATTCCTAATAAATCTAACCAATGGAATAAATGAAACTAAATTCTTTTCTGAATGATTCTGACCATTACAGCAAACCGACACTACTTCATTCTTAATGAATCTGAATGGAATAAATGAAACTAAATTCTTTTCTGAATGATTTTGATACTGAAGCAAATGTTAATTACAGGTGTCAAATACACAAACGATTTACTCAATGACATCTAGGAAGTTAGTGAAAATATTACTATATATAGGTGACAAAAAAAATTTTAATTTAATAATAAAATGATTAATTGAAATGTAGTAAAAAAAAAAAACCTTGTTCGTTCTTCGGTAAAACACCATTTTGTACCACATTCTTTCACAGTATTATTATCATCACAGTCGTTATCATTACTTTCATTATCATTATTACCATCATCGTTTTCCTCTTTCTTCTTCTTCTTACTATTATTATTATTGTTACAGTTAGCATAATCAGAAGATCTTGCTTGTAAAGTTAATCGTGTCTCATTACCTCCATCATTACCTATATCAATTAACGTTGGTTTCAAGATAGCTCCATTGCCCATAGCAGCTGCATTACGCGAGGAACAATGAGGATTAGTTCTGAAAATACAAAAATCCGTTATACCATAATTTAAAAAAGACATAAAAAAGGACGGAAATAAAAAATGTTGAAATTTAGCATTACATATAAATTAGCATGTAATTTTCTCACTGAAAAAAAGACTTTAATCAAGATAACAAATTTCATAAAATAATAAATGCTTTGAAAAAAAAAAATTTAAAAAAAACCACTAAATCTAAAAAAATTTGAACTATAAAAGAGAGAAGTATGAATGAATACTACTATTATTATTATTATTACCTCGGTAATGAACATTTTGGTACATCATAAATAATACTATTATCATCCATTATTTGTAAATGTGATGGATGTGCAGAAGTCTTATACATTGTAGATGGAGCGGAACGTATGCAACGTCGATCATCATCAACTAATAGTTTATCAGAATTTCCGGATGATGATGATGTTGACGGATTGCATTCATGACCATTAAATATCGGATTGGATGGTTGCAATGTTGAATGATAAGTGGGATGATTGTTTTGTTTTGTTGAACGTTCCACTGGACTGCTACTATTCGATGAACTCAAACTGTTGAAAAAATTGATAATCAAATAATTATGCTAATAATTATTAGCTATAAAATACAAAAGAAGATAAATGAAAATTCATAAATTCCTTGATGTTATTTAAAAAAAATTTTCATTACCTGCTACTGTGATTCTGACTTTGATATCCACTAGATGAGGGTGCAACAATAGTATCCGGACATGTAACTGTTGTTTGTTCACGATCTGTTGATACAGTGGTCCGTCGTTTATTTTTACGCGGTGGACGTGTATGACGAAAACGTGTTATTGAAGATTCATGCGTTGTTTCATCTGAATCAGTTTCTTCATTTCGACGATAACCACCAGTTGAATAGTCGGATAAAATATTCGATGATATGTAAGTACTATTTTCAGGTGCTACTGACTTACTGCTAGCATCAAATGCAATAATTCTTTCACGACTTGATGAAATATCTGGTAATGCCATATATGGATTCCTAAAATTCATTTATGTAATGTAAATGTTTGAGCAAAGCACAACAAGTATCTCCTCATAACTTATCATTTGATAGTCTTTTATCATATCACATAAATATTATTAGTTAAACGTGGATGGTTATGAAATTATACTGTAAATAGGAAGAATTCTTCTTTAGGTGTAAAATTTCAAGTATGCTTCAAAGTAAGAAGCTAATTTTATTCGATAAAAAACTAAATTAGAATTATTTTTTTATATCTGCTCTGTAAATCTAATAATGTTAAAATATTCGAGAATTTATATGATTTCATTATATGGTATTGTTTGCCAATAGCAAACGATTACAAAGCAACAATAAACACAATATCAAGTAAAGAATTATTCCTATTCTTGATAAAACAGCCATAATGTGAAGGAAAGCTTACTACCATACAGTAAGCCTTATCATCAGCAACCATTACGATAGCTGTAAAATTTTCAACAATAAGATAAAATAAAGAAGAACCTTTTGTTATGTCGTTCACAAGAAGCATTCTCATTAAAATATCGTTGATTACGATGATGTCCATTCCGATGTTTTTGTACGGTTAAACCGGCTTGTCGTACTGCCAAACTATCATTTAATAAAGCAATATCTAACACATAATCATCATTTGTGTTTAAATGAGTTGCTGGAGATCCTTTTGTTATCACATGTGATTCGCTTACTGTATTACGGATGTGTGTTGGAAGTTTCGCATTATTATTATATGCATGTAATCTAAAAATTAACTATCAAAATTTGAATTCAAATAATGAAAGTTTGAATAGTAATACCATTAGTGGTAATAATACTAAATTAAATTAATGAAAATGACAAGAAAATCACAAAAAATATTAAACATTCATAAAAAGCATATTAAACATTTATGACATAAATGTTTAATACGCTAAGGAAGAATTTGAAACTATATTATTAATTAATTTCAAATAATTTTCCAAGTTTTGTTTTATTACCTTGAAACGTTTGTATTATCATAATCAGATGGTGAACTTTCAACTGTTAATAATTCATAATCTTTACAACCATCATTTCTCATTCGTATATAGCGTAATTTTGCTAAAATGAATCGCAATTCTGCCATCTGTGATCCATATTTAGCTGCTTGTTCATGAATCTAAACAGAAAATAAAATCACAAAATATAATCAAAAATTAGTCTTATGATATCGGGCAAATTTTGATTAAATTTCATTGTAATATCGGTATATCTCATAGAAATATCTAATAATCGAAAAATTTTTGTTTTTTATCTATTTAAAACAAGTATGGTACCAAAATCTGAATCAAATATTGTTTCTTGAGTCAAAAATTCATGAAATATCGTCGCAATGACCATAGCTTCATATATTATGCCAAAATTAAATATTAAAAAGATGAAAATTCATTGATTTAATGTCAATTATAAACAAACAAAGAAAATGAAAAATTTTAATTTTGAAAAAAAAAAAAGAGAATTAATATTAAGAGAGATACCTCAGGTGTCCACAGTTCATCTAAGTAGGAATACAGCAATGATACTTCTTTCCCAATATCAACCGATATATTCCAGTCATTTTCACCCGAATTTCGTTGAATATTTGCTGGTAATGTTGAAATTTTCATCAGATATCGATGCATATTATCCCATTCATGTTCCACGAATTCGTTCATAAAATCCATATAGTGCTCTTTGCCACCAAATTTTGTAAAATTCGCTAATGTTTGTAGTGTTTTAGCGATCAGTGTAAGATTACGAGCTGCGTGTCCCGAAGGATATTCAGAAATCTAGAAAAAAGCAAAAAAAAAGAATACAGAATAAAAAAAATTATTTTTAAGTAATTTTTCTTATTTTAAAACTCAGAAAATAGCAATACTAAATAGTAATATCAATTTAAGTAAAACTGAAAACGAAAGAAAAAAGGAGGACAGAAAAAATCCTTTAAAAAAAATTTGATGATATTTGAAATCAAAGAAGTTACTTTCAGTTTCATAGCAGTTTTGAAGTTAAAGTACTGGTTGATAAACAAAAAGCTAGCTTAAAAGCTTGAATAAGAATAATCAGAAAGTAAAGAAAGCTTAGAAACATTGATTAACGTAAAGGTTACTCTAAGGAATTTTCAAAAGTAATAATAGTAATGTTTAGGTATTAAAAATTTTGATTAAAAATTTCAAAAAAATAAAAATTTATTGGAAAAAAAAACTTGAAAACTTTGCTTACTAGATTAAATAAACTAGGACTAAGTATTGCTGGACAAAGAAATCGCAGGAAAATGCTAGATGAAATTAGCGTATCAGCAAGATCAAGTCGACCAATTTTTTCCAAACGTCGTCGTAGGGTAACAAAAATTTCGCGTAATTCAATTGGAAATATTTCAGCACTGAAATAAAATATTTTAACATATTAATTAAAAATTGTATAGATACATCGTTTTTTTTCTCTTGACAATAATACACATTTAATTAAATTTTTCTAATTTCCATCACAAGTTTCAACAAACTGAAATTTAAGATTTAATTATAAGTGAAATGCATTTTTGAAAAGCAAAAAAAGTAGGTTTTTAGCAAACAATAAGGAAGGAATGAAATTTTCATATGTTATAAAATGTTTTTTCTTCTAAATTTTCAAAATGTCTTTTCTATTATTTAACTTTCAGCATAATTTTTAGTAAATAGTTGCATGTTTGAATAAGTAACAATGAAGGATAAGAATATTTTGAAAGTAACTGAAAGAAAAAAAAAAGAAAATGGAAACAAAATTCCCAAAATTTAATTCAATCTTAATTTGTTTAAATTAGAAATAAAACAAACGTTTAAAAAAAAGAAACAAATTCAACCTTGCCAATATTTTAGACCATGCAGTTTTAACATTTGTCACCAATTGATGACGATTCTTTTCCAACGCTATCACACTAATATTTGCCATTTTCAATGGATCTACTTCACAGTCCTTATCAAATTGTTGCATTGCTTTAACAAATTCGCCAAGTGTATTCTAAAAGTTGTCACGAAAATGTCATCTTTCATGTGTTTACGATTATTCTATCGAGTAATTATGTTATATAGATTTATATTTTGTTATATCTTAATATTATTGAATATGTATTTAATATCATATTTCACTGCAATGCACTTGAAATGCCCTTCAAATTAAGTTACATCTACTTAGTATATCACAATTATTTGTTTAATAAGTTTATTATTTTTCCTTGCTACTACTGAAAAAAATTTTTTTTTTTTTTTGCAAAAATTGATAGAAAACTTATTGTACAAATGTTAATTTTTCATTAATTACCTTGCATTTACTTCATTAAGGAATAAATGACAACCATTTAAGTCCTAATTGAAATGAAATATGATGACATCAATTAAAGATGACATTAACTAAAATAAAACTTTTTGCTCGTCATAAAATTGCATTTATGAAGAAGGAAGGAATTGAATTACTTGAAGATAATCATCTGCAACCAATTTCATATATGCTTCCATTGCTTTCGTTGCTAATGAATTGCCACGGAACATCAAATGTTCATTATCTGCAATTAACAACGTTTCAAATTCATAACTGAAATTTTAAAATGTTCCGCAAGGATATGAGAAATCATCAAGCATTAATACTTACTATTGCATACTATCTTACATAAATTTTATTTACGCTCAAATGCTGAATAAAAAGATGATGATGAAATTCCAATTCCTTATCTGTAAAATTAAATCATTATCAAATAATTTATATTATGTAAAATTTAATCAATACTAAATCAAAAAAGAAGCGAAAAACAATTCTTTAATTAATTTAACAATTTGACATCAATCATTCTTTTCTTTTTTCCTAAAAGAAAAAAAAAAAGTTGAACGGATAACAGCAAAAATACATAGGTTAACATTCTCATCTGTACCAGAATTGTATTCAGAACAAAAAAGAAAGTTATGTTTGAGAAAGAATTGCACAAAATGTAAAATAATACGAAATTAAATTATTGATTAAAAAAATATATGTTTATGAGAGAGTGAAAATTAAATAACAAATAAAGCATACCGAGAACATCAACTTCAGACATAATTAAATCGCATAAGAAATGTTTGGCCATATGTAATTTATGCATGATACGTACAAGTACCGTAGCCAAATCTTCTTTTGCTTTTACACTTAATGCCGGCTCCAAAACACAACATACTGATAAATAATACTGTCTAAAAAAAATTCAATAAAAAATTACAATTTAAAATATAATTATTATTTGAGAGTGAAATTATCAAAGAAAAAAATATTTGAATTTAATAAATAATATATGAAAGACCAACTCAAGTTTTATATATTATTTAAAAAAAGAAGGAAATGTTACAGTTGCAGTCCTATCAGTTTATATTTAAAACTTTTATTTATTAAGATAACATTTCCTATAAATTTCTTTTATTAATTTAATGCTGTCTAAATGTTAATTTCTGCTGTTTCCCTTCTGTATTATTAATATATATATAAATTATTATTTTCACAATTGGTAAAAAGTGGAAAAATTACTAGAACTGAATTGGAATATAATATTTTCATCCATATCTATTTATTTTTCTACATAGGAAATTCTTTGCTTGATTGATTAAATAATAAAGAGATTTTCGAAAATTATGAATGAGGTAAATTTTGGAATGGAGTGAAAAAATTATATCCTCTTTCTGAATATTACAACTTTGTCAATTTTAAATAATTTTTTCCTCAAAAAATGAAAAATAACTAACTTGATGAAAGTCAATAAATCAGTATATGCCTGCATAGGTAATATTTGTACCGATTGGTAACGGGCCTTAATACGTACCGCAGCTACCTCGCCATTACCTTTATCTTTCATTGCATTCGATAATTTAGTACCATCTGATGTTGCTGTTACTGTATACCTATAAATTAATTCCTTATCATTTATCATTTTTATTTCATTTAAAAGTTTTAAAAAAGAATTTCATTCTTTATTATTTTTATTTCATTTAAAAAATTTGTGAAAAAGAACTGTATTAAGACAATATATTCTATTTTATAAAATTTGAATATATCGAATTTCAAAAATGTCAACAAAACTTTTAATTTTTACTTTTATTGAGAACAAGAAAAAAAACCTCTGATCATTATGGAATTTCAGTAAAAGATAAAATTCGTTTTAATTAATTATGCTGATCTGTCATGAAAATTTTTCATGAAATATTTATTCTTAAAGAAACAAAAAAAGAGATCAAATATAAAAAAATTTCTTGCCAAGTATTAGATTAAAAGCAACACCAAATTATCACAAATGTCTGTAAATACTTTTAAAATTGTGAAATCATGCATCTATTTCAAGTTAAAGTATGAAGATAACTTTAATCTTATATATAAAATTATTAAACTAATTGAAAATGAAAGGAGGAAAAGATAACGATAAATGGAAACATTCAAAATTAGTGAATGAATTTACCAATTGATTGATTAAATAATTTATTAATTAGAGTCTAAAAAATTAATAAAGTCTAACCGATAATATGTCCCGAAAATGCTTCGTAATTTAAAGCAACTTTTATCAAATTTAACATTACATAAAGGTCGAATAAAATGACAACGGTCCAACCACGATGTCGACTGTGCGCAATCCTTTGTGACACTATTCAGTATCATCACTTTTACGATTATGCCAAAAAAAAAGAAAAGAAATTTTTGATAAATTAAATAAGAAATTATTAGGCAATGATTTTACAACAACACATAAACGAATTTAAAATTTAATATCGAATCACAAATTAAGAAGCAAATCTTTAAATTTTTGCTACTTATTACAATGTATAAATTTAAAAAAAACAAAAAAAAAAAAAAAAAACGAGAATAGAAAAGAATTCATGTATTATTTTGGTTAAAATTTATGCAAAAAGTTTTATTAAATTTTAAGTATGAGAAAAATCTAGTAATTTTAATCTGACCAAATTGATGAATTTTTATTCAAATTTTTTCACAAACCAAAAAAAAGAAAAACACATCACAATGAATAGATTAAAATTTGTCAAAATTTTTAAATTTCTTGAAATTTACCAAAAGATTTTTAAAAAGAAAAAACGGAATTATTAAACTTTTGTAGAAAAAAGGTAGGGAAGAAGTAATGTATGATAAATACAGTGGCATCTTTAACAATTTGTGATGATTTATTTAATTTCAAATTTTAAAATTTCAATAAAAATCAAGAAGAAAATAGTACCATGTGCTACTATTCCGGAAAAATTTTTATTAACAGTAAAACAAAAAATAATCAAAAACTAAAGTAAGAATGGAAAATTATAGATTGTATTATAATTGCTCATTTATCTTTTTTCTTTTTCTAACTTCACAACTTTTATCCTTAGTAAATAGTAAAAACAATAAAAAAAAAAAAAAAAATAGAAATCAATGAAAATAATTACTTCAAAACTAAAGAAATGAATTCATTCTCAGTTTTTTATGACGATTATTACACGTATGATGTATTATTAATTTCATAATTGCGCTTCTTCACCCACGTCACTTACTCAATTTTAAAAATTTTTCACATAAATCACAATGACAATAATAATAATAGCAATATGTTAACTAAGATTATCAACTAATCAAAATTTTATAAAGAAATAAATGGAAAAATTAATTAATTGATAAGTAAATGAAATTTAAGAGGAGTGAGAAGGAACTCAAGACGGTAGAAAGGAATGTTAGAATAAGTAAACAAATGTATGGGTCTGTAAGTAAACAAACAAACAGGCGAAAAATAAACAAACAAATATGTAAACAATAAATACAAGACTCAAACAAAAGCAACAAACTTAGGTGAAAAGGATAAGTAAAAATATTAGCAATAATAAACTATTTTAAATTTTTTATTAAATTATTCGAAAACAAATTCAACCACAGATATTTAAGCTATCTGTCAAAGTAATTTATGAAAAGCAGAAATAAATAAAGAAATTAGTCAATCAATTAATTAATCGATCGTTAAGTAAAACTTAAAATAAATTTGATAAGGAATAAAAAAATTTTAATTTTCAATGTTTACTATGAATTAGCATATGATTTGAAAATGCGAAAGAGGAAGAAAGGTTAAAACTTAGACTGATGTGATGTGCATAATATGAAGTTAAAATTGATCGACCTTGAAACTAATCATTTGTTGATTAATATGGAGGTCAACGCTAATGATGACAATCATCCTACCATACCACTATTATCAAATGTATGGAAAGTTTTTTTTTTCCTTCTTACTACTTGGTACCTACTAGCACCTATTTGTCACCTTTCCTTTCTTCACCCTTTTTTTTTTTGAATATCAATTTATCATCCATTATGACAAATTCACAAATCATCACCTACTTTCTTCTCTCATCATTTTTTCTTTTGTTTGACCTTCAGATTAAATCAAATTTGCTAATATAATTAATTGCCAGATTTTGTCCAGCTAATAAAAATTTCCATTTATTTAAAAAAGTTCTTAATCAAAATTTAGATATTAATTTTACTAAAAGTTACATCTTACTGTAATTTTACAACAAACTTCTACTGTAGGAATTACAGCGTAGCAATTAATTGTAGATATCATTTTTAGAGGCAAAGAAAAAATGCACGGCAATTATTTAATTTCCAATTGAAAATTTTCATTATTTGAATTAGGAAAAGGATGAATGACGAGAATTAAAAAAATTAATATTTAAATAAAACTATATAATCTAAATAAATTTTTAAATAAAACTAAAAATTCAAATGAAAATATATAATTTAAATAAAACTATACAATTTCATTTAATTATAATGGAATCTAAAAAAAATTTCTGGAGAAAAAATATGTTTTAATAACAAAATGTAAATATATGCAATTAATGATAATTAGAATGATAATAATAATTAGAATAAGAAAGAATAGCAATGGTTAAATCCTAAATATGACTGCTGTGTATATTTCAAAAAAATCTACGAGGATATTTTTGTAAGAGATATGAATTTTACGGAAAATTTGTTCAATGAACCAGAAAAAATTATTATATTGCTTCCGGAAAAAGACTAATTGGTGAATTCTGGAAATAAATTTACTTGCAAAAATGGAGAAGAAATTTATGCTTAAAATGGTTACATTAAAATGTAAATATGTACTTAATAAAAAAATGAAACAAGTTAAAAGAAAAAAAATGACAAAAAGAAATATCAAAAAAAATTACGAAAAGATTAATTAATTGATTAATAGCATTTGTGTTATAATGTTAATTAAAAAATGCTTTCTTGAAAAAAAAGGTGGTTTGTTTAGTTTAAATTTCAAAAATGGCTCACTCAAAAAACCATAATTTGTTTGAAAAGGAAAGGTGAAAAAAAAAAGAAAAAACTAGTTCAAATAAATGAGCAGTGTCATAACTTCTTTTTTTTGAAAAAGAATATAAAAAAAAATTATTTCAAGTACATCACATTGAAATTTTAACATATTTATTCTCACCCACACTCATTGCTATTCAAATTATCAAAAATTATCATTCAATTCTTCTATTCATATTTTTTCTTCTTTTCAACTACTTTTTTGTGAAACTTTTTATTTTCTTTTCAGTAATCATTCTGTCTTAATTCATTTTTTATTCTTTAAATTTAGGATGGAAATTTAAAAAAAAAAAGGAAAAACCAGATTTTTTACATCAAAAATAAGATTGTTGTTTCATCTTTACAATCACTGTTCCATCTTTATAACTTTTTATTATTCTATTTTCTAATTTTAAATTCAACATTAAGTATGAAATGTTATTCGACTTTCTGAAAACTTAATGTCATAATATATAAATCATTTTTTAATGAGCAAGAAATTAAGGAATCATTCCCAAATACTACTTATATTATCAAATAAAAATTAGCTATAAAATGATAAGTTATAATAAGTACAGACAGCTTAAATTATCTGGCAACTAATGAATAAACAGAAAAATTAAATTTACCGTGGCTTACTGATTACAAGTACAGAAACTATTACTATTTACTAATGAAACGATTATAATTATCGTTATCAGTTATGAGCTAGAAAATAATCATAAAACATTTAGGCTTGCTCTACCATTACCACTCTTTTTTTTATTAAGCATTCCGCAATATTATAATTATACGTCGGAAAAAGCTAAGCGTTCATGTCTTAAGCAATTCATATGATATTATGAGCTTAAATTACGTTTTTTAATATACCACCTTGATTAATTAAAAATTTATTAAAAGTATCTCCTAATAGTTTTGAAAAATTTTCAAAGGATTCAATTGATAAGGAAGCAGTCATGAAAAAAAAAGTTTTAAAAAACTTGATCTATCAAAAACAGATTGGCTAATCTGAAAGAGCAAAAGTTAAACTCAATTCTATGCCAATATAAAATTAGGGGCTATTTTATTTATCAATCTAACAATCAATTATGAAAGATTATTTAATTGGTAAACATTTATTTAACTGCGAAAAGATGTAAATTTGTTGAATGGTTAAAACTAAATTAATTATTCATAATGGAATAAATTTTTATGGCAAAAAAGGTCATAGAATTTATTAGAGGAAGGTATTAGTACATTCTAATAAATAAACAAATCTATGTTGAATAGATAAATCTAGTAATCTTAAAAAAATTTTTTCAAGTTTTCAATATTCATCTAATGAATACCAGTAATAATATTCAACAAATAAAAGTATCCAACAAAATAAAATTCCTAGCATAAAAAGAAAAGAAAAAACTAAGATTGCGACTTTATTAAAAACCTATCAAAAATTTACGAACAATCTAAAAAAGAAGGCAAATAAAAGAGGAAATATTTGAAGTGAAATAATAATAACAATAATAAAATAATACAGCTTAAATGAATTAAATTTCGATTGTTAATCACGAATGGAATAATTGAATGGTAAATGAAAGGAAAAAAAAAACAATGTCACCAACGAGATAAATTATAATTGGTACTCAGTGAATGGATGATAAATTAACATCAATACAAAGTGAAGTTGAAAAAAAATATGGATAATTCTGAAAGAAAAAAAAAATTGAATTGGGTCAAATTATAGTATGAACGAACAGAATTGGCTAAATTATACTATTGCAGTTCATGACCAAACATGTATTCAACAAAAAAAAGCCGTTTTTTGATTTTTTAAAATTTAAATTCGGAAAATCTCTTTTTTTAATGCTTACTAAATCCTCTGATGACCTATAATTTATGCTACAATTATTAATTCCAAGCATATGGTTGGAATACTAATGCCATAAATAATACCAATTATTACTGTACCTTTCAATAATTTCAAAATTTGGAATTTTTTTAATTGAAAAAACCAAATTTCGACATTCCATTCATTTATCAAAAAGTTTTTGGAAATAATTCTCATTTAATAATTATATTTTTCAATAAATTTCACATTTGATCGTTTTTTAAAATAATTCTATATTTGGTACTGCAAAGTTATTAAATTTTTTTTTGGAATGATATTTGGAAAAAATTTTGAAATTTAGTGTTGGATAAAATTTCTAAGCAAAATATTAAAGTTAAAAAAGTTTGAAAAATTATCAAAAATAAATGTTAAAGAATTTCAACCTAACATTACTGGTGATAACTGAAAAAGATTTTTCATTTAAAAATTTTTGGAAAATATTCGACAACGTTTCATTAGAAAACATTTGAAATTTATTGATAAATAAAATTTTCTAAGCAAAATGATCAAATTCTTAGCTTATTTAAGTTTTATCAACCATTCTGATACTTATATTTACAATAAAAATATCTATGCTTTAAAAGAGTATCATTGATATTCTTCAATAAAACTATAAATAGTCAAAATTAATAAAGAATTTACAAATCTCGACACAACGTTAATAGAATTATCCGATGAACAAATTAGTGCAGCTTATTTCTGGATGTAATTCAGATTTTACAATATATTAATTTTTCAAACAACAACATTTTTTCGTTTAATTCATTTCCTGGTTAATTAATTAATTAGTGTTGACATCTTAAATAAATCAAAAGTACAAAAGTACAGAGAAAATAAAAACACAGGAAAACCAGGTTTAAATCAATAGTTATAAACCTACTAATGGAACGAATTAGCAAAGAAAAAAGAGAATTAAAATTTTTAAAAAGTTATAAAATCTCATTCATTTTAGATATTGTATTTCAGAAATTCAGTTGTACTAATATACATGAAAAATAGAAAAGAAAAGAATTTTTTGAGGTTCTATTTAAAGACAAAAAAAAAAAACTTTAACAGCTGTAATTCCAAAACTAAATAAGTTGAAAAAAATATTATATTATTGTTAACTCTAAAATATTTCCAATGATTCTTCTAATTGCAAAAAAAAAGAAAAATTTTTATTAAAAGAGTAGAGAAAAAAAAGATACTTCACTAGACAAATATCAAATATTTATTAATTTAAACATATTATCAAACCAAACCACTTTGAAAATGTTATCAAATGGAATAAACTGGAATAAATGAATATCTAAAATGATTTCAGAAAAAAGTAGTATCTAAAATTGTTCAGGAGTTTTTTCCCTTGAAAAAGTTATTTTTAAAAAGAAGAAAGTTTAACTATTATTATTATTATTATTATTATTATTATTATTATTATTATTATTATTATTATTACTATTATTATTATTATTATTATTATTATTATTATTATTATTATTATTATTATTGTTATTATTATTATTATTATTATGCTTTGATAAGAGAGAGAGGGAGGAAACTGAAGAAATAAACAAACCATCGTTCAACGGGATGTCGCGTAGTAAGTTGATCAATTTTAATTTGAACATAACCAATCAACGTTGAACGATCCTTCTTCTTTTTCGCATCTGCTTCACGATATAAATTGATGCAAACATTTTCCAATTTTGGAATCGGACTAGAAATATTAATAATTATAAGGAATTTATCAGAAATTACTATTGTATTTTTAATATGTCAAGACTAACTGAATAATTATTCCTTTTATTTTCATATGCTGAAAAAATAATTCAAATTATTTTTTAGGTATACAGTATACCCGCTTAATAATAGTTTTAGGATGCACACTAGAAAGATGTTTAAATAAGAAATATTTATTAATTTAAGATAGTAAATTAAATCTACAATTAGAAAAATAATATGTAAAAGTTATCATCATTTATTTACATTATTTATTATTTCTTAAAAAATATTGTTAAACGTTTCAAATATTAATGAAAAGAAAGACATAATCGTTTAAATTTCATATTTTAACAATAACAGCAGCAAAAATTGATATTAAAAAATACAAGTTGAAAACTTGGTAAAATTATAATAAAATATGAGAAAGAAATAAAAGTGAAAATAGACCTGAAATAGAAATGTTCGCCCCAAAAGCAAATATCACCACGTGGTTTTGCTGACGTTCGAGCGTATAATGTCTTATCGAGACATATTTCACAGTAGTATTTTCGTTTGATCGGAATACCTTTAGCTTCCAAAATCCATAATTCCAATGAATTTTCTGTTCGATGCATTCGATCACGTAACGGATTTGCTGTACGTCGTATACTGAAAATGTAAGTATTGAACAAATTAAAAAATAAAATGAAATAAAGACTGACTTGAATTTTGAATAATATAAATGAGTTAATCACAACAATATGATAAAAATGTTGTAACTTATACGATTTGAAATGAGAAAACCGATCAATGTTTCGCGATAAAAATATAAATCCGCGAAAAATGTTCAGAAAATTTAGAAAGAAAATATTTGCAAATGATCGTTTCATTAATTCATTTGAAAAGAAAAAAGGATGTGCTACTTGATGAGAACAGATAAGTTCAAAATATATCAAAAAGAAAAAAAAAGTGAAAAAAATGACTTCTATATTATCTGATATAAACTCATATGTATTTTTTTTTTTTGAAATAAAATTTCAAATTCATTCAATGAAATAATTCCGCTTCAAATCAATTTTTTTTTTTCAATAATTTTTTTTAAAAAAAGATCGAAAAAAAATGCAATATGATAAAATTCAGAAAATTTTGAATAAATCAAATGCAAAAATTATTGAAAAAATATTTAAACACAATTTTGAAAAAAAAAAAAAAAGAGACCAAAATCATTTGCTGTAATCATTTAGAAATGCTCATTTATTTGAATCGTTTTTGCGAAAAAATTGGTAAAGTATTAAATTTTTAAAAAAGAGGCCAATGATACCAAACTGGTCAAATTTTCTCAAATTTAAATCCCTTCCTTCCATTTATTAAGAAGCCATCTATAAAATCCTTCCATTAAGAAATTACCGGCAATTAGAGTAAATTTTATGAATATTATTAAACTTCCCAAAAGTCCTTTTAAGAGGAAACTTGTAATTAATTTAATGAATAACTAAAAAACAAATATAATCAATAAATGGATAAACTGGGTAACCAATGACTATACGTAATTAAATAGAATTAGATTTCTTCTAAATGGAGCTAAATTATTTAAATAGAATTAAATTAATAACTGAACGAAATAGAATAAAGAAATGGAATAAATGAATAAAACAGGATGTAACTAAAACGCAGAAATGATAAAAATATGAAATATTTATATTATAAAGTTATCAAATGAAATATTATATTAATTTCTCAAATCTTACAAGTCAAGCTTAACAACTGATAAACCTCATTTTATAGTTAACTTTTAAATAGAATTCAATATAGAATATCTTATCGCCATATAAAATTATTATTTTGCCAGGTAATGTTAGAATAGGATAGAACGTTTGCTAAATATTAGCTCAAATAAATTTGTCACAACTGATATAAATGAAGAAATATGCAAAATGGAATAATTTTTCCGCTATTGGTCATTACAAATTGTTGATAACTGGCATTTTATGATATGCTATAACCGGATAACTTATACTAATACACATCAGTAAATTATTCGCTTCTACGCTAACATGCAAATCAAATTTTCAGCGAAAAAAAATGAATAAAAAGAACTAATGTAAACAAAAACAATGCCAGAAAAACATCTATCATTGTTATTGGCTTTTGTGTATTAGCATCGACAAAAGAAAAAAAATTAATTGAATTTTTAAATTTTCTTAAAATAAAAGGAGAATAGGACATGTGAATTTCTAAATTTTCATAAAATCAGAAGAAATGAGGAAAATCTAAGTATGGAAAGGAAGGAAATCTTAAACGATATGCATAATTTCAATGAATTTAATAAAAGAAAAGAGGGGAAAGATACTCGCGCTTTGTAAGTATTTGTATATTTTAACAAAATTAGGTTAACAAGAATTAACGGGAATATTTGAGAGTATTACGCACGATACATTCGAGGATGACAAACAGAAGAGGAGGATAAGAGAGGGTACTTTTGTTAAGTATCATATGAAGATACCGTATACCTAAGAATATTACCCAATACAGTAATAGAACAAACATCGTATGAGTTAAAAAATATCTATTGAAAATCATTATTTTCGATATCATTTCTGCAGGAAATAGAAATCCTTTCGGAACATTTCATTTCTCCTTTTTTTTTTTTTACCTCTAGAAATGTTTGTCCTCGCGATTTATATTTATAGAAATTCATGCTAAATAAATTACCACAGAATGAAATCTCCTTCAGAATTTACTTTCAACTTAAAATTTCAATCATATTGTTAAATCTTTATAGAATTGCCTACAATTATCAAAAGAAAAAAAATTGACTACTAAATAAGAAGTTGAAATTAGCAGAAACATTGATTACATAAATCTCAATTGAAAATTTCATTCGATATCGATAAAATAAAAATATAAAAAATGTCGAAAAATTCAGATGAAAATGAAATATAGCTAATAACAATAGGGCTACCCTAATGATATGAAATGAATTGATTCGGAAAAGGACAAAGGGAAGAAAAAAAAGAGGAAAAATTCATTTCATATCACAACAATATTATTCAAAAATAATTATACCTGCAAAAAAAAAAAAAAAAACAAGAAGTTAAAAAAAGGAAAACGAATAATTCTATATTAATTTTAATAAGTGAATAAAATAAATAAATCCCATGCATGCGGAAAAAAATTAAGAAAATTAAATATTATTATTTAAAAAAGAAAAATGAAATCTTTTTGTTTTTTTCTTTATAATGTATTTTCTAATTTCCTTTTTTCTCAACCAATTTTCCAAGTTATCATCAAATTTTAAAGATAAATAAATTGGAAGTAATAATAGTAACAGTCATAATAATAAGTAAAGAAAGTGGCAGCAAAATCACTTATACCAGTAAGAGAAAACGTTTTATAGGTAAGAATTATTAAGTTTTGCATAATATTGCAGAATTATCATCGAGTAAATGATAAGTAAGTAATACTTTCAAAAAGCATGAGTGGAAATTTGTTTCAAAACAATTACAACCACTATCATTATCTTAATGACAATGATAGTGAGGAAATCAGCTTAAAAACCATAATTGAGTGATTTTGTTAACATTTTCATAAGGAATAAATGTAAAGTTATCCTGAATCATTGTCGGGATCAGCAACATTACTGATACTGAGCTATCATCATTATCATTATCATTATCACCAGTAGTTATCATTGTCATTACTATTAAGAGCATAAATAGATTCCGAAATGATGGTTGAGCTAACTAACAAACATTTTCATAAAGCATAAATAAAAATCACGATGTCACCAATTATTTGTATAAATAAATTTCGAAAATCATAGTTCATAACTGACCATTACATTGACAGATTTTGCTCTTGTATCATTCGATGCAATTATTTGGTTACACTAATAATGAATTGAAAGATTTAATAAAATCGTAAATATCAGCTTTGGAATTTTCACAAATCGGTCATTTTCAAGGGTAAATATTTTAGAAATTTGCAAAATTTCTACTGTTAATTTTATTAGAATGAATAGAAAAAATTTATTTAACATTGAAGATCACCAAAAAAACAAGAAAAATAAATCAATATAAAATAAAATTCACAAATAATTCCCTTATCGATTAATTTACAAATAATTTCTTTATCGACAGAAAAAGAAATTTCCTACTAAATTGCTTCATCGTTATATGTAAAAATTTTTACACCTATATCAAATTTAACTTGGATGCTATTTCGATCCATCATACATTAAACATAAATGAAATAAATTCTTAAACAGAATTAAAATTTACAAAATCTATATTCCCTTCTCTTTCACCACTTGTCTAATTAATATAATTTCTCTTGCAAGCAAAAGAAAGAATAAAATTTTTTTTTTTTGCACACACACACAAAAAAAAATATATATATAAACATAAAATAGTTTGAAAGACACTAAAAGTTCACACTTTATCAATCATTCCAGTCACTCAATTTAATTTTTTATCAAATCATTAAATTTAACACAACACTCTTTTTCTTTCTTTACAGAAATTACGTAACGAGCAATATTGTAGGGCAAATAAATTCGCCACATATAATTTATTTCTATAACATTTAATGACCTTTGATGGCCTTTTCAAAATTTTTAAAAGATGAATAAGTAATGGTAATGAAATTCGCAATTATTTTATTTCTCATTTTAAATTAATTCATAGAATTAAATAAACCAAAATGTATTGGTGCTAAACTTTTAGGATTTTTTTTTTTTCATTTACTTTTTTATTGTTTAATTAATTGCTCATCTTTTTCATTCCATTTATTATTAAATTTGCAAATTTATTATGCAAGGAAGAGTAAAAACTAATCGAAATAATGATTTTCACAAATCTTTTAATCTACAAAAAAAAAAAAAAAAAAAAATTATTTCCTGATAGAGAATAGAAACATTTTCAATCAAATGTCTGAAATGTTACAAAGCTTAAAAAATCAAGATGTTTTCAAGATGATAATTTCCATTACATTCATTAGTGTTTTACAGTCTAATTATGCTAATTATGCAATGGATAACATCTGTTAAACGAGCGCATCTTAAAATATCTAATTTATTTGTGAGAAGCGCTGGTGCATTCAAAAATTAATTATGTATCATTGGGATCGATCGGCCAACAATGCATACTTTTTTTTCTCACTGACTTAAAAAAGAATACAAATCTTATTATCTAATAGCAAATAAAATTAACAAAATCTATTCTATCTAAGTTAAACTGATATTTTGAATTGAAACACGTCATTTTATCATCGAATTAAATATTTACTAATCTGAATAGGCATACAACAAACATTATTCAATGAGGTATTTACTTATCTGAATCACTTATACATATATAAATTATTGTATTAAAAATATAACATAGATATTTTCATATTTATAAATATAGTTAATACAAATAAAAATTTATTTAAATATAAAAAATTTGCCATGCTATAAATTACACTTTGCAATGAATCTATGTTAGCTAATTCATTCTTGTTATTTTTTTTTTTTTTTACATTTGAGATACTTTTTTTCACTTCATGCTTTATCATACATTCGAAGGTTTTTCTCTTTTTTAAGTTTTTTCTTACTTGCACTAAGGATATCAAATATTTAGTAATTTGAAAGCATACTGAAACACATTATTGGTGTATCATTTTAAATATTTATAAATATATGCATGATAGTAGTAATAATAATTTTATAACAATAATTTTGCTTTTTCTAAGACAATTTAAAAGAATCAGTTTATATTTGTTTTTTATTTAATTAATCAAAATTACCAATTAAAACTTTTCTATTATTTCAATTTCCTTTTTTTCCTTGAAAGAAGAAATGATAACCATAAATTAAAAGAAGAAAGGTATTAATTAGGAATTGTAAACAAAAAATTATTTGAAAAAATAAATGTCAAATTGTCGTAAGTAAGCCGATATGTGGCTGACGAAAACAACGATAAATGAATTTTAATAATTAATTAAGACGATAAATAAAACATGCATATATATATATGCTAGTAAGTACAAGAATAAACATATTCAAATTTAATTTTGTCCAACAAGATTTTTCATTACGTTAATTTCGTTTAGATATTGCAAAATTTTCGATATCTAAAATTATCAATAATTGAACATATTAAAAATTAAAAATTCGTAACAAATAAATAAAAGGTAGTTAGTTTAATTGTAAATTTACCCTTTATTAAAAATTGGATTTGTCGAAAAGGAACGACAAAAGTTATAGAGAAAAAAGAAAACTAATGAATAGAATTTGTTTGTAATAATTAGTAATAATGAGTAGGCAGAAAAGCAAAAAAAAAAAAAAGCAGTAAGAGGTAGAAAGCGAGAAATACACTGATAACTGATAAGCTCTATTCATGCTATTAATAAAAAAGAATGATAAGAATAAAATGAAAGGAAAATTATGAATTTCATTTTCTTTTTTCGTTTTGTTAATCTCGATAATAAATTATCCTTTAATTTTATTTAAATTAAAAAGAAAGAAGAAAATTAAACGCATGATTAGAATATCAAAAAAAAAGAAGAAGAAGAAGCTAAAAAGACGAATTATTGAAAAGAAAGACGGCAATGCTGAGATTGAAATTTGAGAGGGATGAAAGAATATAAAACAAGTTTTTCTACCAATATGTAAAATAAGCGTAGTTAAAAAAAAGAAAGCAAAAAAGGAGGGAGAAAGAAATGAAATTCCAATCCACCGATGAAATTGTTGCCAAATTAATGAAATTTAAACATCACTTTTTTCTCTTACTTTTTGATCATTTGTAAAATTCACGCAATCAAAATTTTATCCCTGAAATTAATTTTAGAATATTTGAAGGATTAAAAGAATTAAGAGTAAAAATAGTCATATTTCATCTAATTTTAATGCTTATGTTAAAATGGACAAATTATCTATCCAAGAGCATCATTACTAAGAATTGACCATATATCAAAAGCTATCGGTCATTTTATAAGTCACAATTAGACCATATTGGTCATCTCATCTCGCTATAACAAACCATTGGTCACTTTACAAGCTATAACAAATCATTAGTTAGTTCACGCGACATATTTATATGACAATCATAATTCTTAAAAAGATATCACGCTCTTCTAGTTGTAACTCATTTAAATTTGTTCTTTTCAATTTCATTACCATTTTCTAACTAGTTAGATTGGTAAAATTTAAAATTGTCTGATTCATTTAACTGATATTAATAAATATTACAGTATATAATCAACTATAAACTTATGTCCATTGGAGAAAAAAAAGAAACTGAATTCAAAATTTAAGAACTGAAATGTCTTATATAGGGATTTACCGAGTAATCATAGAGGTATTATTATTAATGTTAATATTATTTTCGTCCCAAAAGTATTATAAACATAAAGAACCTCTTTTAAAATCGAGTGGAAATATTTTGATTGAATATCTAGAATATATGCAGAATTTATACACACATTGATAACTTACTTAAAAATCTTAAATTATAGAGTAATAAGTAAGTTATGAAAGAAATAAACAGTAGTGAATGTATATTTATGAAAGGAAAATAAATTATAACTAATAATTTATTTCCTCTTTCGTATTATAAATCAAATTGTAAAGATTTCAGATTAAGCTATTGTATGAGTAAATCGAAAATTGATTTCGGATTAGATGGATGACCTTTGAAGATAAGAGAAGAATAAAATATTTTCGATGCAAATTAAATTATGTATGCATATATATTATTTCACTGGTACTTTCACAACACTGTCAAACAAAATGAAATTTCATTGCGTTTGAAGGAGACATTTCGGGAGCATATATGATAATGGAGTAATAGTAGAATTTAATTAAAATCATGAAATAATTGATTAAAAATTAAATTGGATAATGGTTTAAAAAAGGAAAAAAGCACATGTTCTACTATACACTAATATATTTTAAAGTTTTCATTTTATTTAACTAAAAAGGAAAAGAAAATTTTGTTAAAATAAAATTTCAGAGGAAATATTAAAAATCTAAATTTCGATGAATCAATTTTTAAACAAAATATTTATTTGCCAATGGAAAAATACTACAATTTACGAATTCAAAAGTGAGAAGATTATAAAAGTGAGAAGATTTCCTTTTTGCTACATATAATTGTAATTTAGCAAAAAAACCCCTCAATTCCATATTAAATCTTAAAATTTAAATCTTTTACACAAACACTCCTTCATTGCGCTTTCTGAAACCTTCTACTCCTCTTAAAAAATAACAATCTGAAAATAAAATGAGTTTTTGGTCACAAATGATGCCAGATGGCAGATGTGAAGAAATGATGGAGACAAAATTGATACATTTTGAAAGATGATGAAAAGTCTGATAACAACGCACGTAATGAAAAATTGAAAGAAAAGTGACAGAGTGAAATTTAAAATTTGAAAATGTTAAAAACCTAAAAGATTTCTATCAGTATCAAAAAAAGATGTTGAGTGATTTTTTTTTTTTTTTTTTGAGGCATAGGTGAGCAATAATTAAGAAATGTAAAAATTTATACAACCTTGGCAGTAGAGTGAGAAGAAAAGTAAGCAATAGCATTGGAGGAGCAAATGAGAGAAGTTCTAAAAATGAAATTGAATTATTGAATTGTGGAGAGATGTGATGTGGTACCAATGATGATGCGTAAACAATCATTCTCGTAGCATCATTATCATCATCAGCCATTATTGTTGTGAACACTTTAAATGTTTGCATATGACAAGAGATGAAGAAACGGGAAATGCTTTGGTATGATAATTGTAAAGAGAGAGAGAGAGAGAAAGAGGTAAGAGTGGGATGGTATGGTTCATCTAATATACAGTCTAAGAAACAAACAAATAAACAACAACAATAACAAATAAAGTTATAAATACAATGACAACAACAACAACAACACAATGTCATTGAAGTGATCGACCATTTGAGAGGGAAAACAGAAGAAGAAGGAAACTATTTGAGTGCATGGTGGTTGCGGTCACTGTGGTCAACAGTGGTCAGCACTGAATGGTTTAGCAGCCATGCAATTCGTCAATATGAAATGTTGTCTCAAACTGCATGTGAGAATGGAAAAGTATGAAAAAGAAAATATGAAGCTGTTATAAATTAGGAGAAGTTTTAGAATTTTAAATTTTCGAAAATCTAAAAATCGAAATTAATATTTCGGCATAATATGGAATCTGCTGTAAGAGAAAAAATTAATTTGTAATTTCATGATCAACCCAAACGTTTTCTGTCATAAAGAGAGACATATAAATAGAATAAGAGAGAAAAAGGTCAAGAAGAGAAGAAAGAATTCACAAAGAAGAAATGAAATATGAAAGAGTAATAATTTGCAATATGTTAAAATACACAAAGCTATAAAAATAGCCGAAATACTTTTTAAACCACAAATTCATTCTTTCGCTATCTCTCTTTTTCTCATCTTTCCTTTCTTTCTTTGGAAACCTTAAATTGAATAGAAAATAAAATTGGATCGAAAAAAGAGGGAAATGACCTCTGAATGGCAATAAAAATTTTTTGAAAATGTGATAATTTTTTTCCCTTTATTTCTTTTCCTCCCGCTCCCCCTCTCTCTCCCACACGATCCTTTTTTTTTGGGAATAGAAAAAAATAGAAGATGGATTGGGTTTATCGAATAAAATGTATTAATTAAAATTGGATTTATGGTAATCAAATCTTAAAAATGAATGCTAGAATAATTTTTAAATAACTTTTTTTTCAAAAAAAATAATTTCAGTTTTTTGAGTATTAACAATATTTTGCGTGCTTTTTTTGATTTTTTAATCCAATATATTAATTTGTTTCTAGTGATTTTTGAAATTTCCGAATTGGACATAAATCTACTGAATAAGAAGCCATAATGAAATAAAATACATTTGTAAGCGAAAAAAAAAATTAGTTGAAGCATTAAAATATATCTGCAAAAGAAGTTATTGAATAAATTTGATTTCGGTTTAACAGAATTGATTTAAATTGAAATATTGACATATATATAACATATTGTTACAAACATTGATATATAATAGTTGCAATTGAAACATTGATAACATATTATTAATTATCTTATTATGGGTTTGCATTTTACCATCGTTCCATCATCAGTTCAAATTCCAGTTCTAGTAAGCTAAGAATGAGGAAAAATTAGAATTTTGATCTGAATAAAGACAAGGAAAGAGATATTAGAGAACAGAAGAATTTATAAGAATTAATTAAGATTCTGAATCTTGCATAAAATTTTCGAATACATCGTTAAGTTATTATACACTTAACTATTTCTATTTCTTTTTCATTGAATAAATATTTGAAAAATCATTCAGTTTCATATGTTATTAAAGTTGAAATCTTATTCCACCTAGAAATGTAGTGGTAAAGAAAAATATAATTAGAAATAGTTGAAAAAAAAATAACTAAACTGATAATAGAAATAGTTAAAAAAAAAAACTAACTTCTCAATCCATCTATTCCGCTCACGTGAATTGCGACAACTGTAATAGGTATTTTGTAATTCAAAATAGTTTGATACGTCAACAGCTGATGGATGGATGGAATGAATCTGTGCTTCTGCTCCATCTAAATTTTAATTCCTTTCAGAAAAAAGGAGAAAATGTTCAGAATCCGAAAAAAATTATTGCTTTTAGATTTTCCTGTAATAAATCAAATTTGTATCCCTTTTCTTTACTTTTCTTTCTTTTTCTCTCAAAAATATGAACAAAATCTGCGGCCATTTTATTTGCATATCGAAATAAGTATGATCTGAATTCTTGAAATTGAAAAAAATCAAAAAAAAACCTGCATAATTTAACGTAAAACTTAAAGTTAATCAGGACACTTTCAGATTTTATATTATAAAATGAAAAAGTTGAGGAAAAAAAAACAAATGTAGCATTCAAATAAAAAGTCAAAATATTTACTCTATGAGTGCCAGCAAGGATTCCGGATATTTCCGAAATTGATATCATAGATGAAAAAAGAAATATGATGACAAACCTAAATCAATTGTATGTGTAGTAGACGAATAAGCTAATAAACTTTCATGTGAACGACTTGGGCGAAATGAATTTTCATCTTCTTGAGATATCGGATACGGTCGAAATGTTGAATGACGATAAGACTGAACTGGTAATCGCTCATCATTGCATGCATTTTCATCGGTGCTAAAATTTTAAAATATTTTAAATTGCAAAAATAAAAATCAAGCATTATAACTTAAAGGACTTTTATAAGGATCTATAAGGAAAAAAAAACGGTGAAGTTTTTCTTATGTTTGTTTTTTCAAATATTCAAGCACTCGATTCATTCAAAAAAAAAAAAAAACATATATAAGAAGATACCTTTCAGTACTTAAATTACTAGGAATTGTTATTTTGGCAGATTGAAATTGTTGCATATTAATTGTTGATGATGATGACAATGGACAATGACAATGATATGATAATGATGAACGATGTTTAGTGAGAAGAGATAATGACGATGAACGGATTGTTTTCCTTGTATTATAATATCCACAAATTGTATTAGAAATAAATCCCATTTCCGTTTTGGGATTTATAAATTTCAGTCTTCTATTTTGGTTTGTCAAAAATATCTTAAAAAAATTTTTGAAGGAAAAAAAATCGTTTTATAGTGTATCATTTACGAAGTAACAGAAATTTTTTTAGAAAAAAATCGGAATGAAAAATATCATAATAATTTTGAAGATCAAAAAAGATGTAAATTAGACAAAGCGCAGGTTCCGGAAACTATTTTGTGACCCAAAGAAAACAGTACTATAAAGAGCCAAAAAAGCGACTAGGAAGCCAAGGAATGGAATGAAATGGAATTTTCTGGTTTTTTCTAGATATCGGTTAATATTTAGCTAATTTGTGCTAAAATATAGCTGACAGATCATCTTAACAGTTTTATGCCAAGGATACCACTTCATGATAACCAAGGATATCGTTTCATGATGGAGACATGGTAATAGCCCGGAAAATCTTCTAAGAAACCGTTCTAGAACATAATAGAGCAATCCGGCAAGATCTACTGGTGGGATGTGCTATTTCAAGATGGGACAAAGCCACGAAAGGTAACCAGGTGAAATCGTTTCAAGACAGGACAGTAATCCGGTTAGCCGTTTGGGAAGTGCTGCTTGACCAAAGAGTAAGCTAGGAGGACGGTTAGGGGATGGAATTCTAAGACAGGGTAGCAAACCGGAAGACTCCAGCGGAAATGTCATTTGAAAATAACGCAATGAACTGAAAAGCTTCAATGTGAAAATAGTTCAAGATAGGATAGCAGTCCAGAAAACTAGCTAGGGAAAGCCTTTTGAAGAAGAATAGTAAACCAGCCGGGATCTAACAATTTCAAGATAATATAGTGAATCGGAAAATTCCAACAGAAATATCATCTGAAGACGGGACAACAACCCAAAAGCTTTTAAAACAATCCGGAATAGAATTTGATAACAATTAAAACGAAAACAGAATTAATTAATATCATATAGGACAGTCATTCAATTGACGACAATATATCAGCGATGAAATTGCATCTACACTGATGAACAATGATATTGTGAGCAGCGAATAATTTGAATGATCGTAAAGGGCGGGGGAAAAAGATGGGTTAAAGGTAGAGATGAAATCTTAAGAAAACATTAATGGGAATTTTAGAAGCAGGGAAAAATTAAATGGGAAAGAGGAGAAAGATGAAGAAGGAAGTAGAAGGACAAATTAAGCAAAACATACAAATTTTAGTTAGATATAGTTATAATAATAGGAAATTTGATAATGACAGTGATAAGAATGTGCAATTAAAATTGAATGCAGCTATTGAAAAGGAAGGGAAAATGATAATAGAAGTGATAATGATAAGAATTTTGAATGAAAATTTAATATATGATTAGTTCATATTATATTTATTTGGTTAATTTTAGTAGTAAATTAATAAAAATAAAAAATCACAAATATATTATAAGATATTTTGGAAATATATAATTCTTGAAATGATATAAAATTTTAAATAGAAAAAGAACAAAGAAAAGAAATGCAAAAATTTACAATTGCTAAAAAATTGCAATTACTATTTAAATTTTAAATAAAATGGCTTCATCCCACTCATTGAAAAAATTGTAAATAGATTTTTTTTTCGCAATATTTTAAAATTTAAACAAAAAAAAATAAAAGTGATTAATTAACCACTGAGTAATAAGGAAAAATTTAATATTATTTTCTTGAAATATTGTTTAAATTTATAAATTTATATCCTTATGCATAAGAAAAGAAAATTAATTGCAGATTAAGGAAAATGAAAATTAATTGTAAATTAACGACACAATCATAAAAAATTTTACACTTTGATGCAGCTACAATTAATTAGAATGGTAGCACAAATTTTTAATAAAATTTTAAATTTTCCTTCCAATATTTACAACAAATTCTGTCCGATACAACATTTGACAATTTACTTCATCCACTCATTTTGCAAGCTGTATTCGACTAAACTTATTTTTCTCTACTTGTCACATACCGGTTATAGAAACCGGATCTGTCTTTCTGTACTTTTAATTAACTTTTAGCTACGCAAACCAAACTTTTGAAGCATTTGAAAAACATAAATTATTCCGAATCAAATAATGTTTACCATGCAATAATTTATTCCGCCAAAAATTAACACAAATCAATAATAGATCGTTTTAAAGATTACTGTTCACTAAAATGAAATTATCACTTAAAGGTTATCTTGTCAACTCGTAATAATAAAGACGATAATTGATAATTTTGATTTTTATTTAGTCATAAATATTTATTGGTCTTTAATAATCAGTAGCAGTAATACTACAATTAATAATAATAATAATAATAATAATAATAATAATAATAATAATAGTAAAATAATATTATAGTAATAATAATTATTAATAAAAAGAACGATAATAATAGCAATAATAATAATAATAATAACTGTTAAATTTAACAGGCTTTTCTTAATTAAGACCATTAGTTTTCACAAATTACTGTTAAATTGTAGCATAAAAATTTAACTGATTTACAGCTATTTAGCAAAATGATAATTATCATAGTATTTATCACAACAATTATCAAAAAAGAGAAGAAATGATATCATTTCAAAAAAAAATAAATAATAAATAAAAGGAAAAGACAATGAGGAAGAAAAAATATTTGGATTCATCGATTATTTCAATAGTAACAAAGATGAAAAGAGACAATATATTATATATTAATAGAATTGTAAAAAATTGAAAAAAAAAGGGACAGGAAATGTGCTAAAAATTATTAAATAGTTAATGATGAAAATGAAATTTCGTCATTAGGAAGAAGAAATTAGCATTAACAAAAGTAGTTAACAGATAGTTTTGTTTACAGTTTAAAAATTTTTCAAGATCTAATTTAAGTAAACAAGATAAGCTTTAAATTAAAAGCAAACAAAACATTGTCAAGCTCTTACTTAAACCAATAAATTATATTTGAAGAGGAAAGCAAAGAGAAAGAAGAGGAAAAGTTAAAAATTTTATAAAGTTCGGCTATTAGTAAATAGAAATAGCAAAAAAATTCTGAGTTAGCTAATATAAATAGCAAACGGATTGTGTGGCAATTTTAATTAAAATTATTTCACAGAAAATTTTGTGAAAGAATCATAAATTTTTATTTTTTTAATTTAAGCAATTCTAAAATATTAAATAGTCCTTTAGCAATTTGGAAATGCAGTCCTAATTTATGCATTCAAAAGTTTGCATAAATTACATTTCTAATAATATTTTACAAAACTGATAAGGAAAACTTTAATGGATAGACATTAAAATAAGTTAATTAGTGCATATAAAGGAATAAAATTATTTCAAAAACGTCACAAAAAATTTGTTTAATGGTGAATATTTTCCTTCGAAAAAATAATATTGAATAATGAATTTGTTGTCATTGAACTATTTCATTAGAAAAAAAAAGAACTGAAATGAAAGTCTGTTTTATACATTCATTTTGTAAAAAATAATTTTCTGTTTATTTCAATACTAATTTGACAAATAATTCAAATAACACATTAGTAAATACTTTTAAATAGTAAAAAAAAAAAAATGTTTTTGAAATTGGCAAAGTGAATGAAAAAATTATAATATTTTAAAAGTTTTGAAAAAGTTAAAGGAATAAAAATCGAAAAGTTTTATTAGTAAGAAAGTTGTTTATTCTCTTTATTTCTGCCTAAAAATAAATTTCAATTTATGAAATAAATTTTTACCTACAAAAAAGGAAAAAATAGTTCAATAAAACATCGCAAAAAAAATATTACGTATTGTTAGAAGTTAGAATTTACATGTATTCACTGATAACAATTTATCAAATAATTATGGTTAAAACAGTATGCAAAAAATATTCATCAGCTAGTACATTTCTTTTTCACTTAAATTATGCCTTTTTTAAATGTTGAAAAAAAGTTTTTTAAATAATCGAATGCTTGAAAAATCAGTTGTTGTATAAATTAAAAAATGAGTTAGAAATTTTACAAAAATTAATGAATTAATTAAAAACTTACAAATCATTCCGATTTGTTGCACGCTTTCTTTCCAATTTTGTTGCACTTTTCGTGCGGTTCAATGCATTACTTCGAAATGGCCTCGAAAAGAAATTCTAAAATAAAATTGAAATAAAGTAGTAATATATTTTTTTATTATTGTTATATATGTAAGCGAATAAATAAAGCTGAAATTCAATAGACAACTTAAAGCTTAAAATTTATAAAAATGATAGAATGAAACTAAATTTTGATAAAATTTTTATCAAAATTTTTAAACGATTATTTTAAAATAGCAAATAAACTGTTTGATTAAACTGTCGAAATTAAGAATGTTGTAAATGATAAGTTAGAAATATCGTATTAAATACATTATAAAAAAATTATTATGCCGGATTTTCAAATCAGAATGATTGTTAACCATATTTTGGGATGAGAAAAAGTTAAATGTTGATAACCGAATTTTGTTATGGCAAAGTTTAATGTTGTTAACCGCATTTTTATTAAGAAGCTTACAAGGCATACGGTCATTCCCTCTTCAGAGACTTAATTAATCTTGGTTTGAAAAAGAAATATTAACTGAATGATTCCAATACTGTAAATTTGATACTATATAAGGTATACGGTAGGCTACTGTCACCAATGATTAATATACAACATTTATGTCTGGCCTTTTCATGCATTTTTCTTTTTCTGATTCAGTTGATTATTCAGTCAGCTTTGATTAATTTTTTTATATTATAAAACAATTTAAAAAATAAATAAAGAACATGTAATTATTAATTAGAACTATCATAATATTATTAAACATTATTTTATATCAAAACTTGCACCCTTAAAAAAGAAAGGATGGTAATTAAAAATTTTTCGAAAATTTGCGAGAAAATTTCAATGGTTAAATGCTAAAAGCAACATTTAATTAAGAAATGAAATATGTTTCCAAATGATTTTCACTGATAATTTATGCTTGGCGTAGTAAAGAAAATGCCACTATTACACAAAATTTACGATTTCAATTTGGAAAACTATTATAACGATGCAAGATTGATTCATCCACTTCAACAACTTTTCATTCGTTAAGTGATGAAATTGACATGACAATGTTATCAATCAAATCATTCCAGAAAATCTTTTCAACGATGATATTGTGTAGTGATCAGCTATATCAAAAAATAACAATTCAGATGAGAAATAAATAAACAAATACATGAATAAAAAAAGAAAAAAAGAAGAAGAGCGGATGAAGTAATTTAAACTTTGTTAACCAAATCGATGCGATGCGATTTTATCATTATGGCAGTGACATTTAAAAATATGCAAGCTTTCTAATAGTCGAAATATGCAAATTTTATGATAGTCGAGTGTACAAATTTCGTATTAATTAAAAAATGCAAATTTCGCATTAGTTAAAACATGATTTCTGTATTAGCCAAAATTCACGAATTTCACATTTGCTTAAAGTATGTGAATTTCGTGTTTCGAAATGTCCGATAATTTGTGGAAAAATAAAATTTTGAATCGATCAGAATATCTTCATATCATATATTCATATCAATCAAAATATTCAAATTATGCATTAATTGAAATGCGCGAACTCCAAATTAATGAAATTGTGCAAATTTTGTATTTAATATTTCTTTTAAAAATAAATCGATGGAATATTTGTAAATAATTTTATTTTTTTCTATAAGTAACCATTTTTATTTTGCAGCACAAAAAATCACTTTTTCAAATTCAAAAAAAGTATTTTCGTTAAAATTTTCATTGTAATCATATCAACTGAAGTGCCTTTTACTGTTTGTATTAGTGCCTATCCGATATAAATAGTAATAGGAATATTGATAATATTTCACTATTTCTCTGCGCATCTTTCTATCGTTCTTTCAGTTTCATATGTATCTTTTCAAACTGTTTTTTTGAAAGTGAACTTTTATTTTTTTTTAAATTTCATCAAACAAGAAAAACTGTTTCGTTTTTATTCAACAAAGAAATCAAATATTGGATAATAAAATGGACAAATTAAACAATAGAAATTTCAAAAGTTCCTAAATCTAATGTTTTTGAAAAATGAAATTAGATATAATAAAGCTAGCAGATAAGCAAAATTTTAATTATTTTCATTTTTTTTCAATTTCGAAAATTCGTCAATTTTGAGATTTTTTTACCAAACGATTAATCTGATAAATTATTAGTGACGAATTAGAAAACTGATTATGAACAAACTATAATAGCGAAATGAACGATGAAATTAAGTGTTTATTCATACAGTCGAAATTTAAGCAATTTCTGATTAAGGCTTGGTATGAAAAGAAAAAAGTATAATAAATTTTGAAATAATAAGCAATTTACTAAAAAAAAAAAAAAAAAATGAACAATCATAAGTATTAAGCATTTTGATTTTTATAATTTTTATTTCAAATTATACATACCGCTAGACGTTGTGGTGTTGTTGGCTCATCAACGATCGCTATACCTTGTCCTTCCTAAAAAAAAAAAAAGCAATGAAAAAAATTAAATTAAAACATAAGTTAAAAAAAATTCTTTTATTTAGAAATTCACTTACTTTTCGACAAATTTATATAATTTAAAAAATAAGCAAATAAGCACTCAAAAACTATTTAATATTTTATCACAATTTGCTTCTTTATTCGAATTATTACTACTATGCAATTTTGGATAACTCTATTTTGATTAAGTAAGATAGTATTTGTAATTTCTTTTTCCTCTTTATTTGCCAAATCAATTCATTAAAAAAATTATTTAATAAAGAATATAAGTTTACTGCCGAAATAAGATGATAAATATAAAGAAATTTAAAATTGATAAATTTGATTTAAATGATAAGCTAAAGTTTAGAACAATCCATACATAGGACATCTGGTAGACAAAAGTCATAGTAAAAAAAAGATGATCAAATAAGTGAAAACTTAAGCAAAAATTAGTTCTCTCACTACTTATTCATTCGATTATATCAATGATTAAATTGTAATTAATTAATAATTCATCAATTTTTTATTATCTAATTTTCATAAACTTACTGAAAGCAAAAGTGGTAGCTTAATTCCTGCAATGGTTGAACTTCGATGAAGCATCTCTTTTTTTCCTTTTTTTTTCCAAAATGAATGAATGATAAAATTTTCTTTTTTTATTTCCGCTTCTTTCTTTATTTTTTTTTTTTTTGCACTCTTTTTTCCTTCCACTGATCATAAAAAATTTAAATAAAATTAAAAAAAAAAAAACGATGAAATTACGAAATGGCAATAGTTGGAGAGGAATGCACGAACAAATTTTGTAAGAAACTACTGATCAGAAGAAAAAAGCACCTCCTTCTTGCAAAATTGCAAAAACTGCTTTTTTTTTTCTTTTTCTTTTTGCAAAACCACTTGCTTTTCTTTTTTTTTTTACAAATTAATTTTTCCTCCCTGCTATGTCAATTATGCTACTTATTGCTTACTACTATTCGTTGCATACTAACTAAACTAACTAACTAATTAACTAATTAACTAAATAACTAACTAACCAGTTAACCAAAATAACCAACTAACTAACAGACTAGTTAACTAAACAAACCAAATTAAACTAAACTAGACTATCTACCACTACCACTACTACTACTACCACTGCTGTTATTATTACTACTCCAACTTGTTGTGTTGTTATAAGCAACAGAAGAGTGTGAAAGAAATTTGATTTCGAAACAATACTAATAATATTATTAGTGCATTAAATTTAAGCTTTCCAATGTAAATTAATGTTAATCAATTAGTGAATGAATAAATGAAATATTACGATTAGATTACATTTGATGAAATAAAAACTTTAAGTGTAATACGCAAAATATATTTAAATTTCACTTCTTCTTATTCTTATTTACAAAATATTTATTGTTTATCCTTTCTCTATCAATCATCATTTCATATTTTTAAAATTCACTAATCCTTTAAATATTGCAAAAAAAAATAACACAGAGACGGAAGAAAAACAACAAATATGAATTTTTTCATTTGCTTATCCTTTTTTTTTTTTTTTGCTATCTATTTTAATGCAATAGAAATGCATTGAAAATATTTTTAAAATATTATAACTAAATGCAAAAACTAAAAAAGCAATTTCTTTTTGTGAAATTGAAAGTTTAAAAATTTTACAAACAATATTTCGTTTTGACAAGTATTTGTAACAAAAAAATGAAGTATTTTTCTTTGAAATACTACAAATTATAATAAGGATATTTCAATAAAATAAAAAACCCACAATGTAAACAAAAAGAAGCAAACAAATAAATCAAGAAGTAAACATAACAAAACAGCAAAATAACAAATGAAAAAGTAAACAAACAAAAGATTTTTTATCATCAAACGAAAAGTGATAGTTATAGATACTAAATAGCTTTCATTTTATATTTATGATCACTGCATTGATTAAAAATCGATTGATGTTAAAATAACTTGTCAGTTGATTCAATTTCAATATATTACTTTCATAATAAAAGCATTAGAGCTAGCAAATCTTAAGTTTTCTTCGTCTACTGAGCACTCTTTTTGGCCAGTGATGCTGAACTATTTTTTGGTCATTTTCTTGTTTTTTCAAAATGGCTAAATCCTTTTGCTGAATTTATATTTTTATTCAACATTTCTAATTTAGTCAACAAGTGCTTTTACATTTCAAACTTCTGTGCTCCACAAATACCACGTATTACCATGCATTTTTTAATTAGGTCCAATTTTTCTCTCTTTTAAATCAGTTTTTTTTTTCATTCCTATAGATAGAGGAAAAAATTAGGTAAGAATAGATAAAAAAGAGAAGAAAAGAAACTTATTAACTTAATAAATAACTCAACAAACAGGAGAATGAAAAGAAATTAATAAATTATTGAAGACAAAAAAGGAGAAATTATAGCTTCAAAAAATGCTTTTGAAAAAAAGCATGCAAAAAATCATCTAATTTCGTTGCAATTCTAGCTTTATTTTCTTTAATTTCCAATCATTAAACAGGAGAAAAATTTAGAAGTACATAATCTCAGTTAGATCCATTATTATTAAATTCTTATTTTTTTCATCTTTCTTAAATTAAAGGAATTTCTGTGAATTATTATATTCGAACTTGAAAATATTACAACGCATTTTATTAACATTTTTTTTGTGAATTAAGAGAAAAGAACAAAGGCGGTAATTATTTTCTTCAAATATCTGCGATCAAAGAATGGCTGGAAAGAATTAATTTTTTGCTTGTCGCACAATCTTACATGTTGACATAATTTTAATTTTACTAAGGAAAAAGGAGAAAAAAAAAAGACGAAAATCGAAGATGATATCGTCTATATCATTATTATTGAATTTTTTAAATAATTTATTAAATTTCTTTCTGTTTTTCCTTTTTTTAAATATTTAAAACTAAAATTTCATTTTTTTATTCTAATTTTATTTGCAAATTAAAAATTACTATCAGAAAAGAAAAAAAATTATAATCAATCATTTTCTCCATTAGATTTCCACTATCGATTTTCTTCCCTGCTATTTTACTACTCATTCCTTCATCAATCTCTCGTATTCCTCTCATTCACTTTCGACACTTCCCATCCTTTCCTAACTTTTTTATCATATATAAAAGCATCAACGAAGAAGAAAAATTTTTTTTTAAATTAATCATCGAATGAGTAAATACAGAATTGTCGTATTGACAAACCACATGGCAAAGGAAAAGAAAAGTGCGATTAAAGCGGTTTCCACTAAAGAATCGAAAGATATCAAAATAGCAGTTCTCCCTTTTCACGAGACGAATCAGTCCCGGGAAACGATGGGCGGTGTGTATAAAAAGGGTAGGAACGTAATGAACATAAGCTGATCACTTACACTATCAATTACCGTAATTGACAAAAATGGCTACAGTAATGTCAATTATTTACAAGCTTGTTACAGTAGTATAATTATTTGTGCTGCTACAGTAATGTTAATCATCCATATTGCTAAGTAATATTAATTAATATATATGCATTATATATGCATACCAAGTATATATGCATTATTGTGCTTTGTAATATATAAATGACACATCATAATGAAGTATAACATAATTAAAAAAGATTTGACAATATTGTGTTATCAAAGTTTTTTATGTTTTAATTCTGATTAAACTATTATTTCTTAACTATATATAGCAAAATGGCAAGCTTTCTTACTTTGCATATTCATAGTTATCATCTGTTAATTAATTAGTCATTTTCCAATAAGCCAAGCTAATTTATACAATTAAAACGGCAAACCTGATAAACGGTACCATTACGGGCAATTGTCGGTAGATTACGAGAGATACCGCTATTCCCACGCTCTGTTCCATTATTTTGCCAGGCATGACGATCTAATGATATTTGTTCGAAACATGTCTCTAAAATAAGGACAAGTGAAAATATTCAATTGGCAATGAAATAAAAATATAATTTAAAATTAAATTTTTAAATCATATTTTAAATCTTACCAGCCTGATGTCATTGTTGCTTGTGTAAATTTATTGAACGCAGCAAAAAATTGATAGAAATTTTAAAAAACAATGATATTTTTGAAATTTCATGTATCGTAATTAAATATGAATAAAAATTTTATGATTTCATTTGATAAATGATACTAAATAAAAAGTAATCATATTGAAATTACTTTAATTAAAATTTCATTTCGAATACAATAATTTGGTGTATTTTTTTGTAACTTCCATATTGCATATTTTCTGGAGTCAAATGTTTCCAAATTTTCGATTTTGAATCATTTTTAGTGGAATGCAAATTAAATTTATCGTAACTTTTTTTTTTTAAGTTTTTATCATAAATAACACACTCATCCGAATTAAATAATTAAAATATTCACTGCAGATTTGAAACATCATTTGGAAAATGATTTGAAAAGAAATTGACTGTCTTGAAATTTTATAAACAGTTTTTAGAATAAATTTATTCATCTAGTTAAAATTTCAGCAGTGTTTTTCATACCTTCAACTTAATTCATTACCAAAATCATTAATTAATGAATAATAAAAATTATTTCATTCAAAAATTAGTAATTTTCTAGAAAAGAGTAAAAAAAAGGAATGATTACATGAAATCATTCATAATGTTTAAGACAAAATGAAATAATACGAAATTTGGGAAAATAATAGACAAATTCTACTTGATTCAAAAATTTTCCAGTTATGTTGATGAATAATCTTAAAAATTTGAATAATCAATTTAAAATTTCAAGCGTTCTTCAAAGATTCAAAAAATTTACCCTCACTGTAAATATTTGTTTCTTCTGGAATAGTATCTAAAAAATTTTGGTTGAAAATCCATGAGTCAAATCCATATGAGTTTAAAATAGCAGTATAAGTAGGAGTAGTACTAGTGATAGTAGTAGTGGTGGTGACAGTGGCGACAATGATAGTAGCCATTGCTTTTGCTATTTAAAATAAAAAATTTTTGAAAATTTTATTTTTGACATATTGTTGAAGTAATTGTCTAATCAATTGTAAATATGTATTAAAAAAGTAAAGAGTTATCGAAAAACATAGTCGAAATGACATAAGAATGATAAGTTTAATTAGTTGTAACTACTTAATCCATCGAAATTCATATTCTTTTTCCTTTCTTCCTTGCAATTAAAAAAGTCAAAATTTTATTTTTTTTCTGTTAACTGAAAAATAGAACGAAAAGATATTTTTGCATAAAAGATTTATTTTTTTGGTTTGAATTTTTATAAGTAACAAAAAACGATGCCATTTCGAGAGGTAAAATTTTTCTTAATTGGTGATAAGGAAAAACTAACGATAACTAATTGGAGATTATATATTATCAATCTTATTGTCTGACATTTTCTTCCGGTTTTTTTGTTTTATATTAAACTGGTAAACCAAGTCTTTGGGTTGTTAACCATAAGTAAAGGAAAAGGTATCGCGAGTTTTCAATGATTATTGATTTACTTGACAGATCAAAGCCAAATAATGACAAAAACAAAGAAGTAGGTGATACAGGTAATATCAAGAATCAAATGTATCATCTAGAAGGGACATAACTGTCTCTAACAACCATATTACTACTACTGCTGCTCGGTTGTAGGTGACGCAGTACTCTAAATGACCATAATAATGCTATTACTAATGTCATTACTGTTACCATTACTAATACTAATATTGCTACGACACAATTATTACTACTACTGCTACAACAACAACTATTACTACTATTGCTACAACAACAACTATTACTACTATTGCTACAACAACAACTATTACTACTATTGCTACAACAACAACTATTACTACTATTGCTACAACAACAACTATTACTACTATTGCTACAACAACAACAACTATTACTACTATTGCTACAACAACAACTATTACTACTACTATTACTACTATTGCTACAACAACAACTATTACTATTGCTACAACAACAACTATTACTACTATTTGCTACAACAACAACTATTACTACTATTGCTACAACAACAACTATTACTACTATTGCTACAACAACAACTACTTACTACTATTGCTACAACAACAACTATTACTACTATTGCTACAACAACAACTATTACTACTATTGCTACAACAACAACTATTACTACTATTGCTACAACAACAACTATTACTACTATTGCTACAACAACAACTATTACTACTACTGATACAACAACAACTATTACTACTATTGCTACAACAACAACTATTACTACTACTGCTACAACAACAACTATTACTACTACTGATACAACAACAACTATTACTACTATTGCTACAACAACAACTATTACTACTACTACTGAAACAACGATACAACAGTAACAGCTACCACTGTTACTACTACTAATTTAAAGGCATGCATGCAATAATTCCCAAAAAATTATTTCATTCTACTACACTAATTAATAATTCGTAAATCGTTCCAAAGAAAAATTTTTGAAAAAAGTCATAAAGTGTGAATTCTTCCTTAACGTTTCGAATGCTTCAAAGTTAATTGATCACAAATTAATTAATGACGGTGTAATAGCAGAGAGAAACAATGGTAACAATAGTAATGATAATATGATAAAGTAATAAAGGAATAATTTATTCAAATATTTAATTGATTTGAATAAAGAATAGTTATTCTTAACATTTTAATCAGTATTTTTAAAGCAAAATGAAGAAATAGTTAATTTTCCATAAATGAATAATTTGCTGATCTACTGAATAATTTAGAACTTATCACATGATAAAACTAAAAAAGAATATATCATAAAAGTTTCGACGCATCATTTGAAATAATCCAATTAGTGCAATTAATTCAATTGCTCCAATTAGTTGTACTAATTGGATTACCGCTGCATATTTCGCCAATTCCAATAGCAAATTGAACTGTTTGGTATTTGATTGCAAAACTAAATTGCTATATTCTTAGAAGAAAATTCAGTTAAGAATTGATCTGGCGCTAGATTCGTAGTAAAGGATAAAAATTAATCAAATTAAAATTTCGCCACAGTCATGCCCAATGAAAATAATTCCAATAGGAATAAAATCAATTATACTTTTAAACTAAATTTGATCCAATATTATAAGTTTACTTTGATAAAATTCAATGCGGTTAAGTCTTAAAGAATTCGATCGCAATTCCATCAACTGATAAAGTACGACTTCAAACATAAATCCTCTTACTAAATTTATTAGAATTTAGAAAAAAGACAATGATATAGAGTATTTATCATAATAACGTGTAAAAAATTATAATTATTGCTGGAAAACCAAATTGTCAGGTATTGCATTTGTATATGACGGTGGTATGCATATCAGGAAGACAAATCGGTAAAAAAAATTAAAAATTCCAAAATGATTTCATTTTATGCAAACAGTGTAGTAATTGTATGAGAAAAAAGTCCAAATAATAAAAAACACATCCAATTAATAAATAGTTTACGACAATAGTACCTTAGATAAATAATTACTAAATAAATTTTATTCTCTCTTACTGTCATCTTTTTTTCACGAAATTTTCATTTTTGTGGAAATTTTACAACGTATGTCCTTTTTTTTTGTTTTTTATCTAGATTTTAATTAAAAATGGTAACAACTAATGAAACACATTGAAAATAGTAGAGGTAAAGAAGAAGAAATTACCTGATGGTATCGCAGCAGTTCGCGTATAGTAATAACAATTTAAATCGATGATATATGAGGAAGAGTTAGCTACTGTATACATTGAAAGTATACCAGACAAACTAGAAATATAAGTTTACAAACTGTTAAATTATTTCTGTTCAATTTATCTATTCACTTACCTTTACCTATTCTTTGTACATACATAATTCTAAAATATGTGACACGAATACAGTAATCCCAATTTTTTCAACATTACAGTATCCGGTTTAGCTATCTACTTACCTATCGCGTCATGCGAACACATTAAAATATAGTGGTATTCAAGTAATACAATAATTTTAACTTTCTCATCTCCATTGAAAAAATTTTTATTTGTTTGAAAAAGAAAGGAAAAAAAAAGAAGAAAAATCCGTTCTCAACAAACACATAAATAAAAATTTATTGTAATCACTAATTAAATCAATAACTAATTTATTAATTTAAACAAAATTAATCATTAATTAATTTGAATAAAGAAAATTTCTTCTCAACAATTAACTAATTAAACCGCTTAATTAATCAATGATAAATTTATTAAAATTAGAAAAATAAAAACAAAAAAGAGAGGAATGAAAAAAATGATCTAACCTGTGGAATGAAAAAGAAAATTGAAATTGTTGAAAGAAATTAACATATCAGAAAAGTTTCAAGAGTCGAATCAATTTGCTCACTCGAATATATACGAAAGAAATGAAATAATAATGAATGGATTTATCATATAACCAATCTTATTTCGTTGTCGGAAATAATTTCCATTATTTTCCAATTATTTTACATTTTCAATCATTGTATGGATTGAATTTTGAAATGAAACAAAATGAAATAATATTAATAACAACTTATTTCAGAAAATTTTAATATCAATCATATCAACGAAACATTTATATCATTTAAAATGGCAGACAGACAGACGAACAGAATTTTTTTATTAGCCTATTTAAAAGATTGATAGAATGAACTCAAACGATTAAATGACTAATTCACAAAAAAAAGAAAGAAAAAATGAAACCAAATATAGCCGGAAATGATTTTCAAAAAAGAAAGGAAAAAGAAAAAATGATAAGTGTGAAATTCGAATAAAAATTTTTTTTATACGCAGGAAAAAATTAAATAAATCCGTAAAAAGAGCAAGTTGAAAATTTTAAAAATATTCAAAGTTAAAAAAAAGAAACGGAAAAGAGAAATTTATAAAAAAAAATCTATATTTGCAAAAATCTTTGAGTTAAGACAAAAATGGAAAAAACAAATTTCTAGAGTAAAAAAAACGAATGAATAAAATTAAAAATTCTTCTTTTCATTCTTTTTTTTTAGAATTATAGTGTTCGTATTTTTCCAATAAATAGTTGTTTATCTCTTTTAGTTATGTACACATTTAATCTAATCTAGTCTAATCCTTCCAGTACTTTTGATATTTCATTCATTTCATTTGATCTGAAATATTTTTGAAACTTCTTCCTTTTTTTAATTTTTTTCTGAAGCAAAAATGTTATTAAAGAAAAATAAATAGCAAAAAGAATAGAAGTAAAAAAGCGAAAAACAAAAAAAAACAAAAAAAAAAAAAAAAAAAAAAAAAAAAAGATGAAACGAAAAAGAAACAAAATTTCAAAATGATCAATTATGAAAATTGAATATTATAAAAATGAAAATTATTTATTATTATTTCTCTCCTTTCTTTTTTTTTTTCAAATGAATGAAAAATATTTCACAAGCCGAATTGACATCATCTGAGAATATTTCACTGAATATTACGATGGTACATATGTGTGTGTAATTTACCGTAAATTTTGATTTAATAATCAGGTTTTCCCTTCCGATAACAGAAAATATGTCATTCCTTCAAAAAACGAGAAAAAAAAACTGAAAAGGTATTCTTCTGATCGATTCATTTCGCCGTAAATAATTTTACACTAAATTAATTTTCGTTTCTTCCTCACTGAAAAAAAAAACTGTTCATCATTTTATTATCAAAAAAAGGAAAAAAAAAAGTGAAAGAATTTGCAAGCTTAAAAAAAGTGATAAAAATAAAAGAAATAAGACAAATTAAAATTTATTTGCAAATTTTTATATAATACTTAAAATGTCAATTTAGAAAAAATAGAACTTATTTTGCACCATACTCCAACTATTGATTTGAAGAAAGAAAAATTTTTGAATTTTTAATATTTAAATTTCAGAGCTTAAAAATGTTCAAAAATGTTCTAATAAATTTCGTAAATTAGAAATTTAAAAATGACGAAAATTTTTTTAGCATTTTTGCACAATATTTGAAAAACATAAGATTTATTTTATAAAATCTGTTTTTAACCACTATATTACCGCCCTTTTCCTCTTGTTTCTACCTTTACGTATCGCATGAACAAGAAATTTTGAAAAGTTTAATTAAGTTCCAAATTCTGAAAAAAAATGAGTAATGTTTTTTGACAAATTTATTGTCGAAATTTATTTTGCATTTTTTATTTAGCAATTTGCATAATATTTGAAATATTAATAAATCGTTCTCCTAATTATATTTTGATCAGATAAGAAATTTACAAAAATAATATTTTTTCATAAATAAACGAAAAGTAATAGAAGATTTTTGGTTAATAAATTGACGGAAAATATTCCGGAAAATCATTTCTACTGTATCACTAACATTGTCTTTGACATTTTCATTGTCTAATACACCCACATTCCGAAAAGTTATAGAACCGGATTTGTCATTTGAGCACGACAATACAAAAACAGAGATAATGACGAATTATGATTATTACTATCAATACGATTAATAACTTCGCTGGAATTATTATTATCCTATTAATTTCCTGTTTCCAATCATTTCTGACTTATATTCAATAAGTTTCCTCAATTTATAGCATTCCTGATTTTTGGAAAAAAAATTCAAATTTTGTTTTAGAATTTCTCGCAAAGTTAAGCACCGAAACAATTTATTATTTTCACAATTGCTTACTTAGCATAATATAATTGAAATGCTTTACATCGATGTCGATTAACCGAAATTTGGTAATTTTATAATCAGAATGCATCTTTATTTTTTTAATATATTTCAACCATTCGAATAGGAAATATTGTTAGTTTATGAAAAAGAAAAATGAATAAATTTTGTATTACTTTTTTGTGCAAATTTTGTGATAAATTAATTGGAAGAGAAGGAAAAAAAGAATTAGCAAATGCATGTTTGAGTATCATAAAAGTGCAAATATTTTATTGAAATAATCCATTGATTTTTTCCTGCACTAAGATAGCTTTAAAATTAAAAAAAGCTTTAAAAGCATTACAAAAAAAAAATTTTTTTTTTAATCAGAAAAAAGTCTTCATGGAAAAAAAAAGGACAGAAAGTAGAAATGAGGAAGAGAAAATGATCCATATCTATGTTTATTTTATTACGACCAATATTTTTCCTCGTTTTTTTTTTTTTTAGAAATTTTTAAAGTTTTTGTTTCATAATTTAACTCAACAAAAAACAAATGCACAAAATAGTTTAATAATTGAACTAATAAATCATTTGAATTAAACATTTCATGAAATATTACATTCATTCATAAATAATTATCATTTCTTTAATAATAACGGGACGAATTCTCACTTGCACTTCATTAAATAATTAATTAATCATTTCCTAAGCTCAACGGATGCTAAGCAGAAAAGAAGTAAAGTATCCTTAAGCTTTG